AAGTTTATGGTCCTACCAGGTTTTTTTTTTTTTCTGGATATGTATTCTGCCCTGAGCATGCGCATGGATTTCTAGATTCCTCTTTATATGCAATGGCTTTTCAAAGCGTCTGTTCCTCCAAAATGCCTGACTCCCTTGTCTTTACTCTTAGGCTTTCAGCATGTGTTTTATTTGACCCAACTATTACTATCTATCCCAGGGGCCACCACCTTATATGCTTGGCTTTCACCGGTTTCGGTGACTGCATAGCTACACTATCCTGATAAGGGTTTAAAATTAGTCAAAACAAAGGAAATCCCCTTTTGGAGCAGACCTCAAAAGTTACCCAGTCAGTTGCAAAACAATCAGACAAAATTCCTTGGGAGCGTGTCTGTCATGACTCTTCTAGACCAAGTATTAACAGTGGAAACGTGGGCTGCTATCTTTAAGACTGCCACTGTGTTTGAGAGTGGGGTGGATGTCTAGGGTGAGCGAAAAGATCATAATGATCTCCTATCCTGTTTCTGTAACCTTTCTTCTGAGTAAACATTCACTTGGTTGCTGTAAACCTTTGTCTATCTTCCAGAGTTCTGATGAGGTTGATTGTGATAGGTTTTTTTTTTTTTTTTTTTTTTTTTTTTTTTTTCCCCAAGTTTTTCAGTGTTTCTGGGGAGTGCCAGCCTCTAGCAGTCCCTACTCTGCCATTTTTACTAATGTCACTTAGCCATTATCTTTTCATATGATGCTTCTGTCCTCATTCTTTCTCACCTTTCATTCTGGGACTTCAGTTACATATATTAGCCCTACTCAGTATGCATTGCTGCATTATACTTTTGCTTATATTTTAGATCTTTTTGTCTCTATGTTTTATTCTGGGTATTTTCTTCTGACTTATATTTTATACCACAAATTATCTCCTTACCTGTATCTAATCTGCTATTAAACCTATTCATTTTTAAATTTTGGTTATTGTATTTTTAACTCTAGAAATTAAAAAATAATATCTAGTTCTTTCTGAAGATTACTTAATATCAATCACAATGACTTCTTTGAGTGTCATATATAGGAATATAAATGGATAAATAATCATTTGAGGCCTAGGATGAGATTCTGTTTTTCCAGAGAAGATTATATTTTGTTTATGACAGTAAGGATTATTAAAAATTCAGAGTCACCTTTATTAGTTCTCAGAGATTCAACTACATTAAACTGGGCTTTTTAATCTTCTTAGTGACCAGTCTGCATCTGTTTCACAGTTACTCCTAGAGGTAGTCCTCCTATTTCCAGCTCAAAGCTTAGAGCTTTACCAGAGCTACGGTTGTTTAGTGCACTCTAGAATCCAATTTTTGTGTCTCTAGCCTCATGTGATTCTTAAAAGATTCTCAACCTCTCAGCCCTCTCTTTTCAGTTAGCAGATGCCTCTAGGGAAAAGTAACCTTGAATTCAAGCTTTACCTCTGTTCATTTTCTTCTTCTGGATCTTGGCACCGTAATTTTTTCTGCCTGTTTAGTTCTGTTATGGCCTCAAAGAGATACACACATATGTATTTTTTCCCTCAGCTTTTAAGATTTTCTTAGAAGGTGCATTGGTTTGAATTACCTTAATCCTCTAATTCTCCATTAACAAGTCTAATGTTAGTGAGAGAAGTATAAAACTTGTTTTGGCTTTACCACTATGAAAAGCATCAGGAATTGTAAATATTTGAGTACATATACGAGATTAAGAGATTATTCCCCTCTTAATTTTTTAAAAATATATATGACTTGAGAGCAAAAACTATGAAATTTTTGTGCAGGTTTATAAGGTATGTACACATAACACATACGACAGCTATAACATAAAGAAATGAGGGGGGTGTAGGCAATAGACCTACAGTTTGTGAAGTAGCACAGCATTAACTATTAAATACTTTGTGAAAAAAGAGGTAACTAAAGCACTGTTTTTCCTAAAGCAACCACCAAAAACAATTTTAAAATGTATAGCAAAAACGTCTACACAAAATAGAAGTAAAAAATAATAATTCACAAGGCTGTCAGGAAAATAATCAAAGTATATAGGGGCCAAACAGGAAATGAAAATGAAATGATAGATCTGAATCTAAGTATGTCAGCAATTGCATTAAATGATCCAAAACACTGCTATTCAATAGAACTTTCTTTGCTGATGGAAGTATCTTACAGCTGCATCATCAAATACATAGCTACTAGCTATATGGCTAATGAACACTTTAAACGTGGCTAGTACAGCTAAGGAATTGCATTTTTAGTTATTTTTAAAATGTAATGCATTTCAGTTTAATTTTACATAGACCCATATAGCTAGTGACTATTGTATTGGACAGTGTAGGTTTTAATGCTCCAATGGAAAGGCAGGGATTACTAATATTTCTTTTAAAAAGAAAACAGAAAAGGAAGACCCAACTATCTGTCATACCCCAAAAATATACTTTTAAATATGGACCTAATAAGTTAATTGTAAATGGATGCAATCAAACAGTAAGCATAAGAATGCTAGAATGACCATATTAATGTCAGATAAAATAGGCTTTAAGAAAAAGTATACTGTAAAAACTACAGAGGAGTATTTCATACTGATAAAATCTTCTACATCCAGACAGTTTTAAAGTCAAATTCTAACAAAACTTTCAAGAAGCAGATGCTTCCAATTATGTACAGCTCTTCCAAGAAATCTGAAAAGAAAGGATACTCCCCAACCAATTTATAGTAATATTTTAGAATAATCTTCATATGAAAGTCAGAAAAAGGACATTAGAAAGGAGAATTGCAGGCTGAATGAGCAAGAATGCAAATTTAATCCAACAGTGTTTTAAGACAGCAATATCAAGTTGTGCTTATTCCAAGAATATGAGTATGGTTTTATGTATTTAATGAATTTGATTTAGCGTATTTATGGATTAAAGAAGAAGAACAATACATGATCCTCCAAAGGATACAGAAAAACATTTGATGATATTCACTACACATTCATGATTTAAGGAAAAAACTAAAGCCAGAAATTAAACAGAATTATGACATAAACTTATTAAATGAGGAAACAAACCAGGTGTGGTGGCTCATACCTGTCATCCCAGCACTTTGGGAGGCTGAGGCTGGTGGATGTCTTGAGCCTGGGAGTTCGAGACCAGCCTGGGCAGTATGGTGAAACCCCATGTCTTTTTAATAGAGATGGGGTTTCACCATGTTGGCCAGGCTGGTCTCAAATCTTGACCTCAAATGATCCATCCACTTTGGCCTCCCAAAGTGCTGGGAGATTACAGGTGTGAGCCACTGTGCCCGGCCTATATTGGGTCATTTTCAAATAGATGCAGGAAATAGATGCATAGCAATCCTGCCAGAGAGCTTATGGAGAGTAGACTGAACACTTCCTACAGTTATAAAAAGTCCAACACTGGTATTGCTTTTCATGTTATCAGGAAGGAAGGAACTAGTTTGCCTTATGTAATTAAGGTAGTTTCTGTGATGCTACATTACATCTGTTTTTCAGCTTTTGATTCCTGTGACTTCTATAGCTTTTGTACATATATCCATTCATCTTACCTTTTCGAATCTGTACCATTTTTATAATATATGTTTATATCTCATTGCCTAATTCCTTGACTTTTGCTGGCCTGCCTGGTTTGTTTTCATTCTTTACTTGTCCTATATGTCTTACTATCACTTTAGTGGCTGACCCACCTAGACTCTATGCTTTAGTGTACTTAATTTTCTACCCTATCTCTATGCTTGACTGTTAATCATAACTCTAATATTCAGTGCAGATCCATCTCCTTTTTATAAGGAATTCTGGTGAACAGAGCAGTTAAAAATTACTTTGAAAATATGCATAATTAGTCAAAGTATTATTTCCAACTGAAAGAAAAGCTTTGAATTTCGAATTATTGGAATTAAATTCAAGGTGGTGTAATAATTTTGTTTTTTCTTATCAGGCTAAAAGACCCCACTAGTTAGCTAGCTGCCAGCTAGGACTAAGAATGAGAAATTTTGCTTGTTTCTGTTACTTAATGTCTTCCAGCACAACTAACTTTGTCACCTTCTAAAATGGCCAAGTGGCAAATAGTGATTAATTCATTATTGGTTTACTGCAATTAAGAATTCATTTTGTGACTATATGGGCTTGAGGAAAGAGTGTGTACACAACCTTTCCATAGAACCTACTATTGGCAATATAATTTGGAATATGTGACTATACAGCCTACCTAACCTGTAAATGCTTTTTTGCTATGTAATTTGGTTGTGATTCTGATTTTATTTAGGTACTAACGTACATACTTGTACATGACATATGTTGTAATACAAATAATTTCTTCCTGTCTTTTGATCCAGTTAATGGGTAAATTAGTGAGCAGGTTGATTTTTTTTTTTTTTTTTTTTTTAACAGAGACAGAGTCTCATTCTGTTGCTCAGGCTGGAGTGCATTGGCACAATCAGAGGGCTCAAGTGATCCTCCTGCCTCAGCCTGTGATTAGCTAGAAGTACAGACACCTGCCACCATGCCCAGCTAATTTTTAAATTTTTTGTGGAAACAGTCTCGCTATGTTATCTGGGCTTGTCTCAAACTTTTGACCTAAAGCATTTCTCCCACATTGGTCTCCCAAGTCACCGGGATTACAGGTGTGAGTCATCATGCCTGCCCTGACTTTTTCTTTTAGTATAGATTTCCAGGCAGCTGGCTTTGGTTTTGAATAACTGACTTTTAGTTGAGGTCTTTCTCTTGAAAGCTATCTTAACTGTTTGTTTCATTCACTTGCTTTTATGCATAATTCTTTGGTAAATATATTTTTTCCTAAGTAGAGCTATTTATAAAGATACTTTATGCATGACAAAGATATATATATATATATAGTTAGAGAAAAAGAGTTATCTCTAATCCCAGGTCAAGAGTAAATCTGATTCAAATGCACATGTTAATCCAACCCAGATGTTACGGACCTAAAAACAGATAAAACCATGGCCACTTTGAGAGTTTGAGTCTGGTTATACCTTTTCAATTTTGTATTATAGGAAAGTTAAAGGAGGGAATATCGATGTACATCCATCAGAAAAAGCACTCATTGTTCAATATGAAGTGGAAGCTACCATTCTTGGAGAAATGGGAGATCCCATGTTGGGAGAACGAAAAGAATGTCAAAAAATGTAAGTTCTTTATTTGTGCACATTTTTAAAGTAGTGAACATTATATAAACTTCATACAAATCTGATGTTATTTCGATTTGCATAGGTGATTGATTTATGGCATTCTTCCAAGCATACTTTATCTTAGTGAAGGAGAGATTATATTAAACTGTAAGTATGGAGTATATTAATCCTAGAGAATATAAGATTTTTGTAAGCTTAATAAGAACTTGTTGTAACACATATATTCTAATTTATCCCATTTAGAAAATGAATATAATAGATTATGAACTACTAACTTGTGAAATCAACCATAAAAGATGTGTTTATGTTTTTTTGTTTTTTTTTTTTTAAGTTCTGGGATACATGTGCAGAATGTGTAGGTTTGTTACTTAGGTATAAATGTGTCATGGTGGTTTGCTGTACCTATCCACCTGTCATCTAGGTTTTAAGCCCTGCATGAATTAGGCATTTGTCTTAATGCTCTCCCTCCCCTTGCCCCCTACTCCCTACAGGCCCCAGTGTGTGATGCTCCCCTCCTTATGTCCATCTGTTCTCATTCTTCACCTCCACTTATGAGTGAGAACATGTGGTGTTTGGCTTTCTGTTCCTGTGTTAGTTTGCTGAGAATGATGGCTTCCAGCTTCATCAATATCCCTGCAAAGGACATGAATTCATTCTTTTTTATGGCTGCATAGTATTCCATCATGTATATGAGCCATATTTTCTTTATCCAGTCTATCACTGATGGGTATATAGGTTGGTTCCAAGTCTTTACTATTGTGAATAGTGCTGCAGTAAACATGTGTCTTTGTAATAGAATGATTTATAATCCTTTGGGTACATACCCAGTATTGGGATTGCTGGGTCAAATGGTATTTCTATTTCTAGATCCTTGAGGAATCACCACACTGTCTTCCACAATGGTTAAACTAATTCCAATTTCTCCACCGCCTCACCAGCATCTGTTGTTTCCTGACTTTTTAATAATCACCATTCTAACTGGCATGAGATAGTATCTCATTGTGGCTTTGATTTGCATTTCTCTAATGACCAGTGATGATGAGCTTCTTTTCATGTGTTTCTTTGCCCCATAAATGTCTCCTTTTAAAAAGTGTCTGTTCATATCCTTGGCCCACTTTTTGATGGTTTTTATTTTTATTGTAAATTTGTTTGTTTCTTCTAGAATCTGGATATTAGACCTTTGTCAGATGCATAGATTGCAAAAATTTTCTCGCATTCTGTAGGTTCCCTGTTCATTCTGATGATAGTTTCTTTTCCTGTGCAGAAGCTCTTTAGTTTAATTAGATCCCTTTTGTCAACTGGGCTTTTGTTGCAATTGCTTTTGGTATTTTACTCATGAAGTCTTTGTCCATGCCTATGTCCTGAATGGTATTGCCTAGGTTTTTTTCTAGGGAGTGTATGGCTTTGAGTTTTACATTTAAGTTTTTAATCCATGTTGAGTTAATTTTTGTATAAAGTATAAGGAAGGGATCCAGTTTCTGTTTTCTACATATGGCTAGCCAGTTTTCCTAGCACCATTTATTAAATAGGGAGTCCTTTCACTATTGCTTGTTTTTGTCAGATTTGTCAAAGATCAGATGATTGTAGATGTGTGGTGTTATTTCTGAGGTCTCTGTTCTGTTGCATTGGTATGTATATCTGCCTTGATACCTGTATCATGCTGTTTTGGTTACTGTAGCCTTGTAGTATAGTTTGAAGTCAGGTAGTATGATGCCTCTAGCTTTGTTTTTTTGTGTGTGGTTTTTTGCTTAGATTGCCTTGGCTATACAGGCACTTTTTCAGTTGCATATGAAATTTAAAGTGTTTTTTCTAATTCTGCAAAGAAAGTCAATGGTAGGTTGATGGGAATAGCACTGAATCTATAAACTTTGGGCAGTATGGCCATTTTCACGATATTGCGTCTTCCTATCCATGAGCATGGAAATCTTTTTCCATTTGTTTGTGTCCTTTCTGATTTCCTTGAGCAGTGGTTTGTTCCTTTCCTTGAGCAAGGAACTCTTCAAGTTCGCCTTGAAAAGATCCTTCATGTCCCTTGTAAGTTGTATTCCTAGATATTTTATTTTCTTTGTAGCAATTGTAAATGAGAGTTCGTTCATGATTTGGCTCTCTGCTTGTCTGTTGTTGGTATATAGGAATGCTTGTGATTTTTGCACATTGATTTTGTACCCTGAGACTTTGCTGAAGTTGGTTGTCAGCTTAAGGAGTTTTTGGGCTTAGATGATGGGGTTTTCTAAATATACAATCCTGTCATCTGCAAGCAGAGACAGTTTGATTTTTTTCTCTTCCTATTTGAATATGTTTTACTTCTCTCCCTTGCCTGATTGCCTGGGCCAGAACTTCCAATACTATGTTCAATAGGAGTGATGAGAGAGAGCATCCTTGTCTTGTGTTGATTTTCAAAGGGAATTCTGTCAGTTTTTGCCCATTCAGTATGAGATTGGCTGTGGGTTTCTTAGAAATAGCTCTTACTATTTTGAGATATGGTCCATCAATACCTAGTTTATTGAGAATTTTGAATATGAAAGAATGTTGAATTTTGTTGAAGGCCTTTTCTGCATCTATAGAGATAATCATGTGGATTTTGTCATTGGTTTTGTTTATGTGTTGGATTATGTTTATTGATTTATGTTGAACCAGGCTTCCATCCCAGGAATGAAGCTGACTTGGTCTGGTGGATAAGGTTTTTGATATGCTGCTGGATTAGGCATGCCAGTATTTTATTGATGATTTTTGCATTGATGTTCATCAGGGAAATTGGCCTGAAATTTTCTTTTTTTGTTGTGTCTCTGCCAGGTTTTGGTATCAGGATGATGCTGGCCTCATAAAATGCTTTAAGGAGGAGTCCTTCTTTTTCTATTGTTTGGAATAGTTTCAGAAAGAATAGTATCAGCTCCTCTTTTTACCCCTGTTAGAATTTGGCTATTTATCTGGTCCTGGGTTTTGTTTTTTGTTGTTGGTAAGCTGGTAATTACTGCCTCAATTTCAGAACCTGTTATTGGTCGATTCAGGCATTCAGCTTCTTCCTGGTTGGTCTTGGGAGGGTGTATGTGTCCAAGAATTTATCCGTTTCTTCTATGTTTTCTAGTTTATTTGTGCAGAGGTGTTTGTAGTACTCCCTGATGGTAGTTTGTGTTTCTGTGGGATGAGTGGTGATATCTCCTTTATCATTTTTTATTGTGTCTATTTGATTCTTCTCTCTTTTCTTCTTTATTCGTCTAGCTAGCAATCTATTTTAATTTTTTCAAAAAAAAAAACAACTCCAATTCATTGATTTTTGGAAGAGTTTTTCATGTCTCTATCTGCTTCATTTCTTCTCTGATCATAGTTATTTCTTGTCTTCTGCTAGATTTTGACTGTTCGCCCTTGCTTCTCTAGTTCTTTTAATTGTGATGTTAGGGTGTTGATTTCAAATCTTTTCACCTTTTTGATGTGGGCATTTGGTGCTACAAATTTCCCTTTTAACAATTGTTTAGCTGTGTTCCAGAGATACTGGTACATTATGTCTTTGTTCTCACTGGTTGCAAAGAACTTCTTTATTTCTGCCTTAATTTTGTTGTTTACCCAGGAGACATTCAGAACCAGGTTGTTCAATTTCCATGTAGCTATGTGGTTTTGAGTGAGTTTCTAAATCCTGACTTCTAATTTGATTGCATTGTGGTCTGAGAGACTGTTTGTTATGATTTCCGTTGTTTTGCATTTGATGAGGATTGATTGTTTTACTTCCAATTATGTGATCGATTTTAGAATAAGTGCCGTGGCACTTAGAAAAATGTGTATGCTGTTGATTTGGGGTGGAGAGTTCTGTAGATGTCTATTAGGTCCACTTGATCCAGAGCTTAGTTCAAGGCCTAAATATCTTTGTTAATTTTCTGTCTCATCGATCTGTCTAATACTGACAGTGAGCGTTAAAGTCTCCCACTATTATTGTATGAGAGTCTAAGTCTCTTTGTAGGTCTCTAAGAACTTGTTTTCTGAACCTTGGTGCTCCAGTATGGGGTGCATATATATTTAGCAGAGTTAGCTCTTTTTGTTGCCTTGAACCCTTTACCATTATGTAATGCCCTTCTTTGTCTTTTTTGATCTTTGTTGGTTTAAAGTCTGTTTTATCAGAGACTAGGATTGCAACTCCTGCGCTTTTATTTTATTTTATTTTTTGCTTTCCATTTGCTTGGTAACTATTCCTCCATACCTTTATTTTGAGCCTATGTGTGTCTTTGCACGTGAGATGGGTCTCTTGAATACAGCACACAGATGGTTCTTGACTCTATCCAATTTGCCAGTCTCTGTCTTTTAATTGGGGCATTTAGCCTGTTAACATTTAAGGTTAATATCGTTATATGTGAATTTGATCCTGTCATCATGATGTTAGCTAGGTATTTTGCACATTAGTTGATGTAGTTTCTTGGTAGGGTCACTGATTTTTATATACCACTTTTTCCTTTCCATATTTAGTGCTTCCTTTAGAACCTCTTGTAAGGCAGGCCTGAGGTGACAGAATCCCTCAATATTTGCTTGTCTGGAAAGGATTTTATTTCTCCTTCACTTATGAAGCTTAGTTTGGCTGGATATGAAATTCTGGGTTGAAAATTATTTTCTTCAAGAACATTGAATTTTGACTCCCACTCTCTTGTGTCTTACAGAGTTTCTGCAGAGAGATATACTGTTTTTCTGATGGGCTTCCCTTTGTGGGTGACCTGTCCTTTCTCTCTGGCTGCCTTAACATTTTTCCTTTGTTTCAACATTGGAGAATCTGATGATTATGTGTCTTGGGGTGGATCTTCTCAAGGAATATCTTAGCGGTGGTCTCTATTTTCTGAATTTGAATGTTGGCCTGTCTCGCTAGATTGGGAATATTTTCCTAGATAGTACCTGAAGTATGTTTTCCAACTTGATTCCATTCTCCCTGTTACTTTGAGGTCCATCAGTCAATCATAGGTTTGGTCTTTTCACATAATACCATATTTCTTGGAGGCTTTGTTCATTCCTTTTCATTTCTCTTTTCTCTAATCTTGTCTTCACGCCAAATTTCAGCAAGGTGGTCTTCAATCTCTGATATCAACTTGATTGATTCGGCTGTTGATGCTTGTTTATGCTTCACGAACTTCTCATGCTATGTTTTTCAGCTTTTTCAAATCATTTATGTTCCCCTCTGCTCTGGTTATTCTAGTTAGCAGTTCCTGTAACCCCTTAACAAGGTTCTTTGCTTCCTTGTATTGAGTTAGAACATACTCCTTTAGATCAGAGGAGTTTGTTATTATCCACCTTCTGAAGCAGATGTCCCCAAACTATGGCCCGTGGGCCGCATGCGGCCCCCTGAGGCCATTTATCCGGCCCCCCGCCGCACTTCAGGAAGGGGCACCTCTTTCATTGGTGGTCAGTGAGAGGAGCACAGTATGTGGCGGCCCTCCAACGGTCTGAGGGACAGTGAACTGGCCCCCTGTGTAAAAAGTTTGGGGACATCTGTTCTGAAGCCTACTTCTGTCAGTTTGTCAATCTCATTCTCCATCCAGTTTTGTGCCCTTGCTGGAGAGGAGTTGCAATCATTAGGAGGAGAAGAGGCATTCTGGTTTTTGGAATTTTCAGTGTTTTTGCACTGGGTTTTCCTCATCTTCATGGATTTATCCTTTGATCTTTGAGGCTGATGACTATTGGATGGGGTTTTTGTAGGGGGGTGTTTTTTTGTTGATGTTGCTGTTGTTGCTCTCCTAGTTCTTCTAACAGTCAGGTCCCTCTTCTGCAAGTCTGCTGCAGAAGAGTTTGCTGGAGTTCCACTCTAGACTCTGTTCACCTGGATATTACCAGTGGAGACTGCAGAACAGCAAGGATTGCTGCCTGCTTCTTCCTCTGGAAGCTTCATTCCAGAAGGGCACTGACCTGATGCCAGCCGGAGCTCTCCTGTATGAGGTGTCCGTCAACCATTGTGGGGAGGTCTCTTCCAGTCAGGAGGCACGGGGATCATTGACCGCCTTGAGGGGGCAGTCTGTCCCTTAGCAGAGCTGGTGTGCTGTGCTGGGAGATTCGTCCTTGTCAGGATCAACTGCTCTTATCAGAGTTGGCAGACAGTAAAGATTAAGTCTGCTGAAGCTGCACCCACGGCCACCCCTTCCCCCAGGTGCTCTGTCCCAGGGAGATGAGAGTTTTATCTGTAAGCTCCTAACTGGGGCTGCTGCATTTCCTTCAGAGATGTCCTTCCCAATGAGGAGGAATCTAGAGAAGCAGTCTGGCCTCAGACACTTTGCCATACTGTGGTAAATTCCACCCAGTCCAAACCTTTCAATCTCCTTACCACTGTCGGGAAAAATGCCTACTGAAACCTCACTAATGGCAGATCCCCCACCCCACACCAAGCTCAATTGTCTCAGGTGACTCCAGACTGCTGTTCTGACAGTGAGATTTTCAAGCCAGTGGTTCATAGCTTGCTGGGCTCCATAAGAAATAATGGGACTCACTGAGTGAGACCACTTGGCTCCTTGGCTTCAGCCCCCTTTCCACGGGAGTGAACAGTGCTGTCTGCTGGGGTTCCAGGCACCACTGCGTTATGAAAAAAAAACTCTTGCAGCTAGTTTGGTGCCTACCCAAACAGCCGCCTAGTTTTGTGCTTGAAATCCAGGTTCCTGGTGGTGTAGGCTCACAAAGGATTCTCCTGATCTGTGGATTGCAAAAACTGTGGGAAAAGCATAGTACTCAGGGTGGGTAGCACAGTCCCTCACAGTTTCCCTTGGCTGGGTGAGGGAGGTCCCCCAGCTCCTTGCACTTCCTGAGTGAAGCAATACCCCACCCTGCTTCTGCCTGCTTTCCATGGGTTGCACTCGTCTAACCAGTCCCAATGAGATGAACTGGGTACCTCAGTTGGAAATGCAGAAACCACCCACCTTTTGTGTTGGTCTCCCTGGGAGCTGCAGACCAGGGCTGTTTCCTTTCTGCCATCTTGGCCCCTCCTTGTGCCTCTAGATAGCTACCTAAGTGAGTTGAAAACATGTTCACACAAAAAGCTGCACATGTATGTTTATAGCAGTTTTACTCATAATTGCCGACGATTGGAAGCAAACTAGAGGTCTTTTTAGAGTTTCTCTGTATTTACCTTTCTTTCTCTCTATGCCTTCTGATGTGTAGCTAAAACTATATAAAAATATAATAAATTTAAGAGACTTAAAAGGTAGGAACGAAAAAAAACCCAAATAAATTAAGGTAGAAATAAAATAAAGGGACAGACTATTGCTAAGATTCTTCTTTTAAGCCTTAGAAAGCACTCTAGCAAATTTAAACCGAGAAGGAATTTATTAAAAGCTTTTAAGTAACTTGTAGAACCCCCAGGAGAACCAGATTTGGGGTTGAATATATAGCTTGGAATAATAAGTCATACTCCTGGACCGATTTCAGGAGAAATCATCTACTTATGAATAGTAAGTTTACAGGGCATTGCTCTGAGAGCTCCACTCCTGCCCCTCCTTGTGCCTTCATGTCTTCCAACAAAAATTCGCCATCTTTAACGTGAAATAATTCTGCTTTCTTGTCTTTCTCTTTTTGAAAAGAACCTTGCACGGGAGCATCTCCTTGACAGTCTTTTGACCAAGTAGACGCTTCACTTTGAACCTAATTTTATGTCTTTATACCTCTTCCTGGTACCATGAATCCAAGTAACTCGGCAGTTGTTTCCAAACTCTTAATAACGGTTTCTTAATGGGTTCCCAGTGAGTCTCCTGGGCTAACTTTAAAAGGAGGGAGGGGTTGGCTTATTATTGATTTTTAATATGCTAATCTAAGCATAAAATGTATTTATTTGTTCCTCAAAATTCTTCATATAGATCTTAAAGTGGATCTCACTTTTTTTTACTTTTACTTTCTGTATAATTACCATCAGAACAACTGAATCTGAACATATCAATATTGTGTCTTGTCCCTAACTGAAAATAAGTTAGCATTTCTGGGTATGGTCAAGAAAATGATTTATTTGTGATGATATGGACACTTTATATATTTTATATCAGAAATACTGTTTTAAAACAGAATCTCTGAATATACTGTTTTGTCTAGAGAGGCAGAAAAAGATTGTATGTTCCTTTTGTTATATTGTTTGTCTAGCTCACAGAAAATCACTGCCTTGTATTTTTCTAAGCCTAATTATATCTACTAGTTTATTTTATTAAGAGTCTATGGCGAAGTTCTCTATAGTAATGTATAATCTATAAATTATTCTATAGTAGTAGTATTGAAGTTATTACTTTTATAATACCTGAGTTGAAAACTGCTATTATACCTACAGCATTCGACTTAAGAGTCTCAATGCCAACACAGATATAATTTCCCTGGCAAGGAAGGTGGTTGAAGAATGTAAACTCATTCATCCCTCAAAACTAAATGAGGTAGAACAACTATTGTACTATCTACAGAACCGCCGTGACTCATTGTCAGGAAAAGGTAAGTAATAGAATTCCTGACTTCCTAATGCAGAAAGTTGTTTGACTATAGTTTGTCAAAATGGGAAGCAGCTAATTATTTTTCATGTGTTGTGTATGTACACATATACTGAAATAAGGCATAAAAAAGTAAATGTCATACTGATTCTAGAATAACAAAAGGAGAGAATTTGGGGCAGAAAACCTATTTTCACTGCCCCAACTAGAATATTTTATAAACTTCTTTTTTATATTTGTTTACAGTTTGGATGGATTATGTGTTAAAATAGATACCTTATGCCTTAGACTATCCTAAAGGTATAACTTTCATGCATCTTTTTTTCTCTTCCTTTTTTTCTTTCTTGCAGCAGAGAAAGAGGTTTAATTTGGGGGCTACCAAACTAGGAGATGACAGAAAACCTCAGATCCATCTCACTGAGGAATTTGGGGCTAGAGTTTCTAAGGGTTTTGGATTAGGCTGAAGTACGGAGAGTGGTAATTGGTCAGAGAGGGTAAGATGAAGTAGTGGGACAAGACGATGAAGAAGCCGTATTCTCGTGCGGATTTCATTCCTCTATGAGGGTCTTCGGACTAGTTGATATCAGCTATTTCACTGACACTCAGGGTCTGAAAAACATTTTAAATGATCCTTAAGCAAAAGCTTTACGATTCTAACATCAGAGATGCTGTCTGTAGGAACAGTGGGGATGCAAATGGTTAGTATGTTTGACTGACTATATGACTCTAGCAACGAGGGAATGGGCCAAAGTGTAGCCTAATTAATGCTTAGTTATAACTATATTTCTGTCTGGAACTTGGCATAGAATTCTTATCACCCTTTGGGGACAGTTTCAGTTCCCCCTTTTCTTGTTCATCCTCAGTCCTGAGGTATGATCAGTAAAGAGGGAATCAAGGGACGACCTTTCTAGCAGCTTTCTGCTGACAAGGTATGCATATAGCAGGACCATGATTAGGATTTGAGGAATGAAACTGCTTAGCAGTGGCCTATAAATGGTTCCTGATTGCCAAGTCTAGGGTTCCAACTCTGCATGACAGACTGTCAGTGCTTGTTACTAGTCCCTGTTGTCTTTTGGGAATAGAAAGAAGAGCAAAATAACAATAATGATAATAACAAGAGTTTGTAAGGAGGACCAAAACCAGTTTCCCCTTCCCGTAGGAAGCCAGCCAAAGAGATTGTCAAGGTGGCCTGCACCTCTTGTAACCATTTAGCTTGTTTGGAAATCTTTTCTATCCACAGCAAGTGGTATTAGTTATTTCACAGATACCCCCTTGCTTTGCCAGGAGGAAATCTAATGTAATTTGATTATCAAGAACCATCTATGCCAGAGTTTAGGCCTAGCAGTTTTCTTCTTCAGTTTAGCATGTCAACATGCCATATTTTGAGGTATATTTCTGAGCCCCAACATCCCTTGTATGAAACTTTTGTCGAAGTTCCACACACAAAAAATGGAGTTGGTAGAAAAATTGAGTTAATAGCTGAGTGGCAAAGGATCCCAGTAAGCCAGTCTCCCATTCCTGAGAATAGGCCATGCCCATTAGACAGCTGTATCTCATTTCAGGAGATGTTTTGTAGACTAGCTTTCAAACAGAGGAAAAACAAATGTTGGTATTTGGGGCAATCTATAAACCAGTTTCCTTAGAGTCTGAAAGGAAGTCAGTTGATGTGTCTAAATGTTAGACTGAAAGCATCTCAGTTAAAGTGGAAATAAGCAGTAGCAATCTGACAAGTTTTTCTTGCCCGTCTTACAAGGTATGAGCTTCAGCTTGCATGGTCTTAGAAAAAGTTAATAATGATTTTACTGAATTTAAGACAGAAAAATGGAAGAAAATTTTGAAAATGTTAGTTTGAGTCTTGTAGCCAGGAAATAATTCAGGTTTAGTTCAAATTGTAGAAAACAATAAAAACTCAAAAATAATAGATGAGGCTAGAATCTAGTAACAGGTGTTCTGTAGTTTCTTTTGAAACAACATTTTTATCTCCAGTGCCCCATTTCTACGAAAGACAAATTATAGTAGGACCAATTTACTTGCAAAATAAGTTTTATATTTGGCCTGACTGCATAAAGTATGTCAAGAATAGTGATTGGCCATATAGGCTTGACTTAGCAGGAAATTTTTCTTAAGGAATCTTAATTTCGACTTTTTAAAAGCCTCCAGGGTAGCCAAACCAAGGATTTATCTATGCCTGCAGATACCTGTATGAATTGGGTGAACTTATCTCCTGTGGAGGCCCCAAAATAACTTGAGGTTTCTGGATCTCTTAAAAGTAACATTTTTTTACTTATCACAGGTGCAGAACTCTATAAAGAAACCACATAGACGAGGTAGAAGGCCAGTCTTTCCAAGGTGCTTTTATTGACTCTATAAAGTCAACATCAATTCCTCAAAGCAATCTGGTCATATCTGAAAATATGCCAATCCAATCAAAGCCTTAGTAAAGTAACCAGCATCTCCAGTTGTGTCCTGCTACAAAAGAAAGCAGATTCTGATTGAACTTATGCAAATAACTGTATTGCCATAAAAGAATACTTATGAATGGTTTCCACACTTGTGAGAACTCAGATAGAAAGGCAAATATGGCCGGGTGCGGTGGCTCAAGCCTGTAATCCCAGCACTTTGGGAGGCCGAGGCGGGCGGATCACGAGGTCGAGAGATCGAGACCGTCCTGGTCAACATGGTGAAACCCCGTCTCTACTAAAAATACAAAAAATTAACTGGACATGGTGGCGCGTGCTTGTAATCCCAGCTACTCAGGAGGCTGAGGCAGGAGAATTGCCTGAGCCCAGGAGGCGGAGGTTGCGGTGAGCCGAGATCGCGCCATTGCACTCCAGCCTGGGTAACAAGAGCGAAACTCTGTCTCAAAAAAAAAAAAAACAAAAACAAAAAAACAAAAAAAAGAAAGGCAAATTTTTCTCAGAAAGATATATTTTACTTGTCATAAGCTATAAATAGCTCAAAAGAAAAAAAATGTTTCCTTGGCTCCTCTTCAGTCAGAGTAGCAGAATTCCCAACAGAATGTTGTCTGTTAACCTTGGAATTGCCAGTCATAAACCAGGCAGTTCTTTGTCAGTCAGGTGAAAGCTGTTTAATGGGCACTGTAGAATCCTGCAGCTTCTCACACAATTTCAGAGTCAGTCCTGGGGAAAAAGGGGCTCCCGGCTCATGAGTATCTCCTCTTTGAATTTCCCAAGTAGCATGATCCTATACAAACTATCTCCATTTTATTATGGAATGCTTCTGGGCACTGCTATCCCCAGTTAGACTGTTTCTCTGACATTGCCCCAATAGCGTGGGTATTTCAGATGTCATGATCATTTTATGTCTTTCCATCACAGGGTGCTTTCAGTTAATGTCCTGTAACAAGGCAGTAAATGCCTCTTAAGTGGAAATTCTCTAGTCCAGAGTCACAGTAGTCATCAATGGGATGTGCTCGCAAGACTTCTGCCATAAGCCTCAGTAAACATTCCACAAAAGGCTATAAAGTGGAGAATTTGTTCCTACCAGCACTCTGGCTTCTAGTATATATTCAGTGTGCTTGGGGAATCTTACTGGTTCCCATTTTAGTATGTCCAGTTGATGTAGCTTGAAGGGCAGATTTGTATCCCTTCAGTTTTACAGTTTTACAGGCAGAGGAAACATCCTCTAGCTAGATACAATGTCCATTTTCATAAGACATTTAGGTAAAAGATCCACAACTACTTTACATAAAGCCTGTTTAAACATTTCAACTTTGATAATCCTACCCACCCTTACATTTTACATTCGGTCCCAAGAATTTCTCTTCACTCCCAGACCATTTTACCGTCTCTTGTGAAAAGAGGGTTGGGTTCCCAGCAGAGGGTTTAGCTGAGGGACCAAGGCTTTTTAGTCAGTCTTCGTGTTGATTAACCACCTCAACATCACCCCAGGCAATTGTTCAGATTTCTCATTTTGATCTTTGTCTTCTGATGTTTTAAAAAAATATCTCCAATTGGGGTAAATACAGAAAACTGATTTGGTACCCTTTAATGTTGGGGGAACCAGTAATTAAGACCTTTCTTTCAACCCCATCAATGTCCATTTTATTCACTGCATTTCTTAATAACTGTCTAAAGATTTTCAGTCTGCTGGGATGAGTCCCATGACTCTCCCCTTCTCTTTTTCTCTTAGTTTTACTATTAGTGTTTTCTTCATTTGTCATATTTCTTAATAACTGTTTAAAACTTCCCGTCTTCCTGGGATGAGTCCTTTGACCTTCCCCTCTACCCTTCACCATTCCCTTGTTAGCTAACCTAATTATTTTCTACTGTCATCTGTAAGACCCTTGAGGAAATGCTGACCATGACTTGGGTAATGGGCATATTCAAGGGGTGAATATCCCTGTCATAAATCCCATCCCATATGGCTTGCATATAAGCTGCTTCATCTGGGGTACTCCACCAGTTATAGGTGGAGTTGGGCAGTCCCTTTTCTCGGGGTAAAGAGACCTTACAGGGACTTTTATCCAGTTCATTAGGCTGACTCTTTTCTCACTAATAACCTCCTGTTTGTCTGGATCATGTACAACCATTTGCAATTGTTTAATAGTGAGCAGTGGGTACTGTACCAACCCAAACATGTTTCACTCTGCAGCCTTTAAAACCAGAGACAGTGCTCCCAAATTAGTTACTCTCATAATCCATTTCAGTATAGGTTCCTTAGGGAGCTGATGATACTGATCTATAAAATAAAAGGGTGGGGGATGAGGAACCTTTGATTCCTGAGTGACTGTATGGTCATCCATGGCATGGAACTGCAGCTGGGCCATGCCCAGTTACTAAAGGTAAAAGTTACAGTGAATTTGGAGGTAGATACAACTTCTGGAGAGTTGGTTCACTGGATGCATAAGGAAATGCAAACTAATATGAAAAAAGCATAATATTCAATTCCTTGGTTATTGTTATCTATAATGGCTAAAATAAAAGTAAAAGAGTGCTGAGTTGGGTCTTGAGACAGGAGAAGGCACAGATGTGGGTCTGTGTGAACTCAGGTCACTAGCCTCAAAGCTACTCACAAAAGCAGAAAATTATATAGGGCAGTATAAAATACTTCTGTGATCCGTGGTCTCCAAGAAGGTAGCCAATGTAGAAGAAAAGCAAAATGAAGTAACTATTGAAACCAAAGTATATAATGTAAAGGAATTCTTCTATTCGATAAAGCTCCCACTTGGTCACAGGTTAAGTTTTCAAGGACGTAAAACAAGATGAGAAGAACCCTCAACTAGTACGTTCTCTTTATTAAGAACACAGAAAGACAAAGAAAAGATTATTTCTAGAAGGAAAGGGAACAGTATGAATCGTCATAAACCAAAAAGTATACCAGTCAATGTTTTCTAAGACTAGTCACACACATCTTTTTCTCCTGTTAATCAAAACCTCACAGGAGACAGTGATTTCTTACCTTTTGCTCAACCGGATTCCACACAGAGAGATCTGGAACCCGACTGGTAAACAATTCTTACTACCCTGTTGCCAGCTTGTCAGGTTCCTGGATTCTCTTAACTGTGGCTTCCAAAAGAGCAGAGCTTTGATCACCCTGCTTGCTGATTACAAAAAAAAAACATTTTCTTTATTTTCATAGGTTCATAGTTGAAAGCTGCGCAGTTTGGCAGGATACAATCCAAGGGCTGCTTGAGGTAGGAGGGATCAAGTTAGCATTTCCCATATCGACCGAGACAAAATTACAGTGTACATTTAACAAAGACAAACACCAGTTACTTGGCTCAGTATCCAAGTTTTAACCTAGCAAAACAGACAGAACGGATCTTCCTTTCCACCTGTTAGGCCAACTGAGCTTCTGCTAATGTTTCCTTCTGGGTTCCCCATACAAAAACAGGACAAGATAAGAATAGACATGAGACCCCAATAAGTCAGAATTATAAAACCAGGTTTCATAACTGAAACCAAATCGTCCGGGAGTACTTCCTCCAAACATTGCTCTTTATTCTCCTTCCAACTGGGGAAATTCCCCTCCAACAGGGCCCCGTTTACAGATTAGGAAGGGTCAACAGGACCTCTGAATAGGACCTTTAAGGAGAACAGCAGATCAGGAAAAGGCAAAAGGGATGTTGATTGTGCTTGGGAATACTTAAACTAGAGAAGTCTTTCAAATTTAGAAACTGTTTCTCTATTGCAAGCAAGCTTATGTGAAGGTCGACATGCCTTGCTGGCAATGAAGGCTCCAGAGACAGCCCTGGCTTAAAGAAGCCAGACAAGCCAGCCACTTGGACTCATCTCCTGGCCTCTGAAATATCAAGGAGTCACTGAGCCACAGGCAGATGCCCATGAGGGGTATCCCATTGTGGGGTCACCACTAAATTGTAACCGTTACAGCAAGTCAATACATTAAGACACTGGGTTGCAGCAGAAAAAAAGGGGTTTAATTGTAGGAACCAAATAAGGAGATGGGAGGAAACCTCAAATCCATCTCTATTAATCCTTCTTAGGAAAATATTTTGTTTTTATTCCTCAGCGTCTCTATTGTTGCCATGCTCCTATCCTCAATTTCCTCATAAAAGAACCAACCCACTAAGATATTAGAGCTGAGAAAATGATCGCTTATATAAAATAAACTAAAAATCAAAACAAAAACATAGATATTTTAATGGAAAATTATCTCAGATTATTGAATGCTTCGTTTTGTTTTGCCATTTTATAGTATTTACTAAATGTACATATTTGTACATATGGTGCTTTTTTTTTGTTTGAAACGGGGTCTTGCTTCATTGCCCAGACTGGAGTGCAGTGGCATAATCACAGCTCACTGCAGCCTCCTGGGCTCCAGTGATCCCTCAACTTGAGCGTCCCTAGCAGCTGAGACTACAGGCATGTGCCACCACACCTGGCTAATTTTTTACACTTTTGTAGAGACTGGGGTCTCACTATGTTGCTTAGGCTAGTCTCGAACTCCTGGGCTCAAGTGATCCTCCTGACTTTGCTTCTCAAAGTGCTGCGATTGCAGGCCTGAGCCAGTGTGCCCAGCTGGTGCTCTTAAAATATATCAGTGCTCAAGTTTTGATTAGACTAAGAGGGGAAAAGAAAGAAAATTTTGTTTGGAATTTTTTCCAATTAATCAGTCTCCATCTACAGCAAATAAAATGCCTTGTACTTAATATATACTTTTATTAGTTGTGAATACTAGATACTTATATACTTCTGTGTATTTAGTGAATACTAAGTACTTAGATACTTCTAAGGTAGATGATAAATATATATTTGTTGAATGAATTAAATGGTTGTAAATTTATTTAAAAGCAAAAATAGACATTTTGAATGAACATGATTGCTTCTAATCACATAGCTGGCATTCAGTGAAGTACTATGTAGATAAGGAAAATATCAAGAAACATTTTTATTAAACAAATACGTTATGATAGAACATTCTTGTCAAGATGTCTGTAAATGATGAGAGATCACATAGTCCAATAAATTCCAAGTAGAAAAGCAAATCTGGTAGTCTTTTAATATCTGTGTCTACTTATTGTAGGTAACAGTACAGTTAAAATTGATCTTTCCTAGTGCCAAATTAATATAATTCTGAAGGCATTTATAATAAAATATATTTAAACTAGTAAAAACTCTTTCACTGAGTTTTCAGGGCAAATCAGTGGTTTTACCTTGCTCCCCAGAAATTAAAGGAATATGAAAAGATTTCATGTCATTATTTTATCCATATTTCAAGTCAATGTTTTCTCTGTCTAGATAGAGTATTATTAATAGTCAAAGACATAGGAAATGCTTTAGGAAATGTGTATTAAATATACACTTTTTTAAACTATTGGTGTTTCTTTGTTAAAACTCTTTTGATAGGCAGTATGTCAAAGCCAGAAACTTTACCTTAAAAGTGATTGAAACAAAATAATAATACTTATTTGGTTATGTGATTCATTACATTCAGTGATTTTTTTCTTTGCATAATTAAAACCACTGTCTTGGTAAATTATCTGTTTGAAGCAGAATTAAGCTGTTGAAAATATATGAGCTTATATAGAATGGGTGCTGTCCTCTGAAAATAATGACTAATTTTATCATTTATATTTATTTGCTAATTATGGAATCAAAAATGTTGATACCATTCTAACTTACTTTAATGTGCATATATTATTTAGACTTATGATCCAGATCAGTAAAGTATATTGGATAGTTTTGTGGTTTTTTTTTTTTTTTTTTTTTGCTAAAAAATGAGATTATACCATTAATCAGATAATTCCATATAATGAGTGGCTCAAACTTGTGTTCAGCTATTTTGGATAACTATTTATTTGGGACTAAGTGGGGATTTAATTAACACAAGTAATAAATATTTGCCTTTCAATTTATGATCTTAATTTTCCTTGTTAAAAAAGAACCAGTTGCCAACTATTCTGTATTTTAGCTTTTAAATTTACCCATTTTTATTTCTTTCTGCTTTGTTAATTTTCATTTTAGTTTGTTTGTTACTCAAGTTATACTTTTTTCTTTGCCTTATTGATTTTCCTATTCCTACCTTAAATTTGAATTAGAAATGGAAAGAGAGGATACTTAGAACAGACTACTGTATTTTGCTTCTTGTTGGCAAGTTTGGCTGTATACCTTACCTACTCAAAAAGTTTACCAGGGAGGAAGTTGCTACCTAACATAATTTGATGATTAGTTATAGACTTTATTAATTTATACTCTCCTTGATATCCTTATTAGAGCAAGTGGATTATATATGATCGTTTTTATACATTGAGAAAAGAGTATTTCATAAACTATTTAGTTTTAATATCTCCAGTTTAGCTAGAATTAAACTCAGCTGCTGAAAATAAAAATTACCTAGAAACCTTAAAAACCTAATTTTCCTTATTAAAAAAAAATATGTTTACAGAGAAAAAAGAAAAATCAAGCAAGCCTAAAGATCCACCTCCTTTTGAAGGAATGGAGGTAAGACTGCATGCATTCTGATCTAATAGAGGACTGGATTATAAGACATTGCCTTTTTCCATCAGTAATACACATAATCACAGTAAACCCATGTGGTATTTTTAAAAAAATGATTGAATTCAGAGGTACCTGAAGAAGGTAGAAAATTATTTAATTGAAAAAGACATAAAATATTGCTTGTGCTTCTTAGACAATTTATTTTAATAAATGATGGGTAAAAATGTTTACATTCTTATTGTAATATGTTTTGAAATATATTATTTAATCTACTATAGTAGATACAAATATTTTATATTACATTTGAGATACTTTATATTGATAGACAATTTAAAAAGTTTATATACATCTGATTTTATTATGGGATTTTGTATTAGAGTCCTAGGTCTAAAAGTCTAAAATTTTCCTATCCAAAAAGGTGGCTACTGTGAGTTCTTTGGAAATTTGTGTATTATAAAGGCCAGTATATTGATCACAAAATATCATTTCTTTGACAGTGAATCTGTTGAGCATTGTTGATGAGTATTTTCTGCCTCTTCCTTTGTTTCAGATTGATGAAGTTGCCAACATTAATGATATGGATGAATATATTGAGTTACTATATGAAGATATTCCTGATAAGGTTCGGGGTTCTGCTTTGATCCTGCAGCTTGCTCGAAATCCTGATAACTTGGAAGAACTACTACTGAATGGTAATTTATAGCTATAAATATTAAAAGTAGAAAATTATTATAAAACATGTTTAATTATACTAGAGGAATAAGTTAAAAACAATATTTATACAAAACTTAAGAATGCATATATTTTCCAGCTCTTTATTTTTTTCTTACTCAGATTTCTTAATTTGAGAGCATGGTATTTATTCTCGGGAGAATTCACAAACCATTTAATTTAAACAAGGAAAATTAAGCATTAATGGTACTGTACCTTTTCTTCTACTCTGTAAAACTGTTTTATTCTTTTAATTAGGATAGAAGATCAAAGTTTAGACATTTGCCTAGATATATATATATATATATATATATATGTATATATATATATATATATATATCATGTTTTATTAAATTAGAGTTCAATATTAGTTTTCTCTTAGTAGCACAGGGACAGCTATTAATCTTTGCAGTTTCACTGAGATTGAATTTCACATCAAGTGTTTGCTGTCCTTTCACTAGAAGTACTTGGTAGTAACAAAAAAAGGAGATAGAATGTTTTTAACACCCTTTTCTTAGTAACACTGTAGAATCTTGTTTTTTTGTTTTGTTTTGTTTTGTTTTGTTTTGTTTTGTTTTGTTTTGTTTTGTTTTGAGACAGGGTTTCCCTCTCTTGCCCAGGCTGGAGTGCAGTGGTGCAATCTCAGTTCACTGTAATCTCTGCCTTCCTGGTTCATGCAAGTCTCCCGCCTCAGCCTCCTGAGTAGCTGATTTTACAGGCATGCACCACCATGCGCAGCCAAATTTTTTTCGCTTTTTTTTTTTTAATTAGAGTTGGGGTTTCACCATACTGGTCAGACTGCTCTGGAACTCCTAACCTCAGGTAATCCACCCACCTTGGCCTCCCAAAGTGCTGGGATTACAGGTGTGAGCCACTGCTCCCGGCCTGTAGAATCATTTTAAATGCGTAGCTTTCTGATTATACATTTGCCAAAAGCAAAATAGGAAAGATGTCTTTGTTATCTGGTTTGCATTACATGAGGGAGAATGCCTTTCTGGCTGTTGACAAATACATGAATAAAATAATTCAAATCAATCGTTTTGTTAATCAGTACTTTCAAGTAAGTATTTCAAATGGCTTTTCTGCTATATGCTTGCCATTCTTTTATGAAATAGATACTTCTTGAAAACTTACTGTGTGGCAGGCACCGTTCTCATATTTTCATGGAATTGTTTTAGTGTTCTCTCTCCTTCTGTTCCATTGGTTTATTTGATGATTTACATACCAATACCATACTATTGTTGTGTTATTTGGTGTTTTGACTTAACTTTAGAATATGTAGGAAAAATGTTCCAAATTGCTTTCTTTCCTCCCATAATTGGTTTTGCTGATCTTGCACATCTGTCTTATATATTTTGAGATTATTTCATCATATTCTGTGAAAAGTCATAATGGAGTTTTGATTATGATTGCATTCAATGTAGAAATTAATTTTGGGTTTTCTTTTGACCTATTGTAAACTATATTTTAGCTGTTTCTTAGTAAACTGTATACAACTCCTGTAACTATATTTTTATTGAGATGTTTCTTTATTCTGTATTAAAGGAGAAAAATGAAATAAAATCTGGCAAATAGGTCACTAAACCTAGGCCTAAATTTATGACATTATAGAACAGTTCTGTGTAAGCTAGTATTTTAAGAAATACTATTTTCTCTGTATTATAATGGTCTGATGCCTTTGAGACTTACTAGATTGAATAATGCTACACCAGATTCTTTGTTAAATAGGACTTTTTGGAGCCTTTGCATGTTAATATGCATTGCCAACCTATTTATGTGACTCCAAAATTATTTTTTTCAAAGTATATACTATTCTAGTTCTCTATATTGTGAATGTGAATAATACCATGAAATGCGATCATAGGATGATTTTTAGTTTGCTAAAAAATTTGTCACTGTGGATTCATAACTAATACAGTAATTTTTGAAAGCTCAAATGTGGAACATTTTTATTACCACAATAAATACTCATAACGCAGTCTATAAAGTACTATTGTAAATCCTGAGTACCTATTAAAAACGGTGGAATTATGATTTCTATGTTTTAACATATATTTTATTTTAATTACTTTAATAATTAGTATGCCATGTGCCAACCTGATTTGAAGCTAGTGTCATTACTTTAAGTTTTGTTTCCTCAAGATAGAATTTTAGCAGAAATGCTTATTAACCTACCTGAAAGTTAATTTTGTGAAAGTTTTTTGTTTTATTTGTGGCTATTAGCATAAATTCAGTGTGTTACTGAAAGATCATTTTTTCTGTGTACAGATTTTATTTGTTTTTTCATTTGCTTTAATGGAACGAGTGCTAGTCTACTAACCTGCTCATTTTATTCTAGACTTATTCAAGATTTTTTTGTATTATCAAATACATTAAATCAGATATTAAAAAGAAAAGTCAGTACTGCATTAGTAAGATTACAGTTCTTAATTTAAGATTGTTAAATTAAGAAACAAAACACTTTTTAATTATTTTATTGTCACCATAACATACATATTATGTCACTTTATCTAAATCATATTTTATTACTTCTGTGTTCAGTATATATTTGAAGCAGCATGTTATGTATTTTTAAGTAAAATTACATTTTAGTTTTAAAAATAGCTTTCTGTATTGGAAAGAAGCATCCTACTTTTTGCTCCAGTTCTATCTTAGCTTTGTTATTTATTAATAACTAGACATTTAAAACCAATCATCCTTTATACCAGAGCAAGGAGAATGATCGTTTCAGTACCTCTCCTTTTTCTTTAGAAACTGCCCTTGGTGCATTAGCAAGGGTCCTGAGAGAAGACTGGAAACAAAGTGTTGAGTTAGCTACGAACATAATTTACATCTTTTTTTGCTTTTCCAGGTAAGTATAAAAACTATTAACCAAAAAAACTACTGTATCTCTGTTGCTTTTTGTCTGTGTCATTGATTCAATTTGTGGATCACTCATTCTCAGTTTTTCTGTGTGTCTGCCTATGCTCTACTGCTGAATTCTTATTCCTGTTTCCTATTGCCTGTCTTGCTGTTATTCTATCTTTTATGTAGTCTGTACTCATTCATGCCTAAGTTTCCTCAGGAGCAAAATTTGGATAGTAATAGTGGCACCCTCTTTGGATAGTTTTTTGGATTAAATGAATTAAAAATGGAAATACTTAGAATAAAGCCTGATCCAGAGTAAGTGCTCAGTAAATGTTACTGTTATATATACGCATGTATGTGCACATACCTGTTATGTATTCATATTAATTATATAGCCTTAAGAAAGATGTTTATTAAGAAATTATGAAAAGTTTCTAGCCAATTCCTAGAGAATTACTGCTTCTGTTCTAAAAATATGCTAGTATTAGCAAATACATATTTATTGAATAAATAATTGGATGATTCAATTATCTAGAAAGCATGTAAAGTGTTGTTACTAGTACTAATTCTCTGATGTCAGTTTTATGCAATAAATAAAGTGTATGTCTAGTATTGTTACGTTATTAGTTTTGTTAGACAATAATCTAAAAATTTATTGTGAGTGTCTGAGTTAATATGGTGATTAATTACAAAAAAGTGTCTACTTTCTAGCTTCTTAAATATAACTTTTAGGTAAGGGTAATGTGATAAAATACATTTAAAGTAATTTTATAATCTCAAGTCTTCCTAGTTATACTGTGGATATATTCATTTATTGAAATATTTAAAATTTATTTTCTACATGATTTGTACCAGTGATCACTAAAAACAGATTTTCTGTACTCATAAAATGTATTCTTTTAAATATATATTAAAATGCCTTTTCTAAAGCTTTTCTCAGTTTCATGGACTTATTACTCACTATAAAATTGGAGCCCTGTGTATGAATATTATTGATCATGAGTTAAAAAGACACGAGCTTTGGCAAGAAGAACTTTCAAAGAAGAAGAAAGCTGATATCCTTTTACAGTGGCATTTGAACCCTCTGTTGACTTTGGTTATAAGTTTTGGATGGGTGGAATGGTTTTGTTCTTTTTAAAAAAATTGTTAATTGCATTACTTGGAAACAATGCAGTTGTGTGTTATTGAAAGTATGAAGTAGATTGAAACCATCAAAATGAATACAGTTTGACCTTCACTTTGTGTCTCTTCACAACCTTTCTTAGTTGATGAGGTAGAAGGAGCAGGTAATAGTCGTGTCAGGTAACTTAGTAGGTGAGCCTCTAAATGATTACATCATTACATAAACTAAGATCCTTTGGGTAATTGGAGTCTGGCTCATCACTGCTGCTTATGTACTTCTATGTGAGTACTAAGGTGACTTTGAGTAGAATGTGTGTAAATTTGGTGATGAACCTAGTTAAAAGCTCTATTTTTCTAGGAAAGTATAAAAATATATTTTTTAATAAATACAAATTTTAAAGGCCTCTAGAATGATAGAACCTGTGAAAGGAAATTTAGGTATCTGTTTTAATCTATCCTGCAAATATAAAAGTCTTTTTTGCAACTGGTGACAAATGGTGTCATATAGGCTATTCTTTAACAATGTCACTGCTTATTGATTTAACCCATTCTGTGGTTTAGCATTCTGTTTGTTATAATAGTCTTTTGCTTAGTGCATTGAAGTCCATTTCCCAATAACTTCTATCCATTGGTTCTAGTATTGCATACTAAAGCAATATAGAATAAAGATATTTTCTTCAACATCATAATTCTCATATTTGAAGATATTTATCATATTTTAGCCTCAACAACTTAATGCTTCTGTATCAAAGGCCCCTGGTTTATTTGTATCTGTTCAAGCATAATGTGTTTTGCAGATCAACAAGGCATGCTGATAACTTTCCTTTGAATCAAGTGTTTATTGATGTCTTTTAAAAAGTGAAAACTTTGTTTCTGTTGTACAGAATGTCATACATTTTTAACTCTCCCTTGTGCAAAAGTAGACCCTATTTTTATGTTAATTTTGGCCTCCAGAAACCCTAAGGCTTCAATTTAATCTGTGTTGTAATAGGTTAATTCAGGGTATTATCTACAGAATCTCTCAGGCTTTTATTATTGTCACTTGAAACCCCAAAATACTGTAAAATCCACACTCACACACAGGGTTTGACTTTTGTTAATTAGATTCTTTTCATGTTTATAAATTTTCTATGCATACCGTAAACTTCTGGCATCTAAATTGATACTGACTCAACTACATCAACCACCCAAGAATCCTTGAGACCTTTACATCAGTTCTGGAGTGCCAGTACTCCCAAATGCTTCAGTGGTACCCAAAATTTATTTAAAACTGGAGCAGTATGGAGGGAACAACTAGTGAAACTTGTTAGCAATCATTAATTTGCATTTTGTGATTGGTGACAAGAACTCACATCTTAGGACACATTATATTTCTATATCAGACACCATTAATTTTAAAATTCAGTATTTAACCACTAGGAGAGGAAAATAGGCTTTCCATTAAACTATGACACATAATGAATTATAAGACACATCCAGTTTTGAAGATGTTAAGATAAGAGGAAAATGTGTCTTAGACTCAATAGATTATGGTAATTGAAGGGATATAAAAATGACCTCAGAATTTTGGCCATTTCTCCTGACATGTTACTATTTTTTTAATGTCCTAAATTTCTTTTTATTTTGATACAAGTGGTATTCAACAAGGTCAGCTGCTTTGACTCATATTCTGGGGTCATATGCTTGACTCATATTCTTGGAGATACTGAAGTAACTGATTATTTTTGCAAGGTGTCCAGGGGATGATTTGGGACTAAAAGATGTGATTTTAAAAACTTGTTTACCTTTAAGTTTGGGATAGTTCTTTCTTGGCATCTCTAGTCTGAAAAGACTGCCACAAAAGCGTTAGATTTAATATACATCCTTTGAATATTCTGGGCATTTGTCTCAAGTAAAATCCAGTGTTCTTAGTAATTAAATCACTCTCTGAGGCAGTAATTTTTTTGGTTCATGGACCCACTTGATAATCTGTTGAAAGTTATAGACTTGTGCACCTGCATAAAATATTCACAGTTTCTGGGAATTCAGGTATTTGGTGAGGTTCAAACATCTATATGATGTTAGCTGTGGACTATAAAAAAAAAATATTTGTTCACTCAAGGACTCCCAGGGAATCCATGACCACATAGATAAGAAGTCCTGTTACAGCACAATTATTGTGCAGACAACATTTTAGTTAAACTTTTGGTGAGACAAAATAACTGGATAAAGTTGCATATAAAATTTAATAGTGCTGTTGTTCATAGAATTTACCAATAGATTTTTTTGCTTCAATGAGTACGGATAATCCTTAACAAGTTGTTCACTTGATGAAGACCCTGAAAACCAAACCTTGAGAAAGGATTATGAAAAAACTTTTAAAAAGTACCAGGGGCTTGTGGTAAAACAGGAACAGCTATTACGAGGTATGAATTCCTAAGCAATGAGGAAAGTAACAAAGTACTTACTCTAAATACATTTGTTTTGTTCGCTTTTTGTCATATCTATAAAGCTAATGTGAGAATAACTGAAAGTTCTATAAATGTTAATATGCTACAAGTTCTTCTGTCTTTAGCATGGATAACGCTTTAAATTTGACTCAGTATTTTTCCCCATTTAGTTCCTAAATATACTTATTATTTATAGATAATAAGTATACTTATTTATTTCCTAAGAAAGGATTTTTTAATCCAGCATGTGACCTTTTCAATGGTAAGAATCTTTGTCTCTTCAGCCCTAACCGACTTGTTTTATAAAGTGAATTATTTTGTTGCTTTCCTTGGAAATTGATATAAAAATTTCAAAATCTTTCTCTTGTTTAATAGAAAAGAATTCCTTGTCTCTAGCTTTATTAAGAGATGTAAAACCTCAATAATATGGGTTTTTGGTTACTGATGAGATGTAAAATCTCTTGCTAGTTAGTGATAATGATGTGGGGCTTTTAAGTGTGAATTTAATTCCTGATTTGTACTTGACTGTTTGGTGATTCATTTAGTTCGTTGCTGTTTGACTGACTTTGTAATGGAAATACTTGTTAATTCCTAAAATATCTTCATCCTGTGAGGATTACTAGCAATTTTAGCTATACTGAGTTTTTAAAATATCCGAAGCCAAATAATTTAGTTTAACCTGTTGGAGAAAATGTCAGATTTTCAAAAGTTAATTTTAAAATATGCTAGAAAATAATAGGTATTATCTATGTCAGCATATAATCCACAATGCATCAGCTCTCAAGAAAGCAATTGTTTTCATGTAGAAATTTTAAATAACTAATTTGACTTTTTTAACATATAAAACTTTAAGCTCTGTTTCTAACCAAATATTTTATTTATGCTAGTATTTTATGCTCTTGTAAGAGCTTTATTGAGGTAGAGTTGACAGATAATAACTGTACAATTTTAAAGTATACAATTTGATAAATTTTAACATATGTAACTACCCATGAAATTATGACCATAATCAAGATGACATATCCATCACTCCCAAAATTTCCTCATGCATCTTTATAGTCTCTCCCTTTCCTTCCTTCTCCCTTATTCCCAAGTTATCACTGACCTGCTTTCTCACTTTAGGTTAGTTTGCATTTTCTAGAGTTTTAAATAAATGAAATCATATAGTATGCATTTCTTTTTGTCTTTTTTAGTCAGCATAAAGATTCATCCATATTATTGCATTTATCAGTAGTTCATTCCTTTTTCATATTGAATAGTATTTCTTTGTGTTTACCTGTTGATGCTCATTTAGATTATTTCCAGTTTTTGGCAGTTTTGATGCTGCTGTGAACATTTGTCTGTAAGTCTTCATATGGACATACACTTTATTTTCTCTTAGTTAAATACCTAGTGATGGAATGACTGAGTCATATCATAGGTGTATGTCTAGCTATAAGAAACTGCCAAATGTTTTTCTATAGTAGTTGTTTTTATATTTTCACCATGAATGTATGTGGTTTTGATTTGAAATTTTCTAGTGACTGATTATGTTGCACATCTCTTGATGGGCTTATCTGCCATCTCTTTATGTTTATTAAAGTATGCCTTCTCTAACTTTTGCCTATTATTAAATTGGATTGTTTTATATATATTCTTTACATGTTTTGGATATGAGCATTTATCAGATATGTGATTTGCAAATATTTTTCTTCTCTTTATCTTTTTAAGTGCAGAATTTTACATTTTTATGAAGTCCAACTTAGTTATTTTTTGGATCAAGGTTTTGGTATTGTATCTAAGAAATCCTTTCCTTCAGGCATGATGGCTCGTGCATGTAATCCTCGCACTTTAAGAGGCCGAGGTGGGTGGATCACGAGGTCAGGAGATCGAGACCATTCTGGCCAACATGGTGAAACCCCATCTCTACTAAAAATACAAAATGTAGCTGCACATGTTGGCATGTGACTGTAGTCCCAGCTACTCGGGATGCTGAATTGCTTGAACCCAGGTGGCGGAGGTTGCAGTGAGCTGAGATCACGCCACTGCCAGCCTGGCGACAGAGCAAGAGAGACTACGTCTCAAAGAAAAAAAAAAAAGAAAGAAAAGAAATCCTTTCCTAACTAAAGGTTATAATTATTTTTACTTATATTTTCTTCTAGAAGTTGTATAGTCTCAGAGTCTATAGTTAAGCCTATCATACCTTTTCAGTTAATTTTTGTATGTGGGATGAGGAATGGATCAAAGTTCTTCATTTTTTTTGCACATGGATAGCTAATTATTCAAGTACTACTTTTGAAAACACCATCTTTTATCTACTGAACTGATTTATGTCTTTGTCAGAACCGTTTATTTACATGTATCATGCCTATTTTGGGGTTTCTATTTTGTTCTATCCATCACTTTTGCGTGTTCTGATGCCAGTAGCACAGTGTCTTCATTGCTGTAGCTTGTAGAAAATTTTGATATCAGGTGGTGTTAGCCCTACCAATTTTTTATTCAATTGATTTCTACTCTGATCTTTATAATTTTTTTTTCTTCAGCTTACTTTGGGTTTAATATGTTCTTTGTGTGTGTGTGTGTATGTGTGTGTGTGTGTGTGTGTGTGTGTGTGTGTGTGTGTGTGTTTTAAGGTGGAAGCTGGAGTCATTTATTCAAGACCTTTCTTCTTGAAGACAGATATTACTACTATAAATTTCCCATTAAGCACTTCTTCAGTGGCATCCCACAGATTTTCATATGCCCTATTTTCATTTTCCTTCAGTTTTTTTTTTTTTTTCCTTTTTTTTTTTGAGACGGAGTTTAGCTCTTGTTACCCAGGCTGGAGTGCAATGGCGCAATCTTGGCTCACCTCAACCTCCGCCTCCTGGGTTCAGGCGATTCTTCTGCCTCAGCCTCCTGAGTAGCTGGGATTACAGGCACGCGCCACCATGCCCAGCTAATTTTTTGTATTTTTAGTAGAGACGGGGTTTCACCATGTTGACCAGAATAGTCTCGATCTCTCGACCTCGTGATCCACCCACCTCGGCCTCCCAAAGTGCTGGTATTACAGGCTTGAGCCACCGCGCCCGGCTCCTTCATTTTTAATACTTTGCCATTTCTCTTTTTGTTTCCTCTTTGACCCATGCATTATATAGAAGGGAGTTATTTTTTCCCCAAATAATTGGGAATTTTTCAGAGAGCTTCATATTACTGATTTTTAGTTTAATTTATGGTCATCAGATAAAATAGTTTGTAATATTTCAGTCCTTCAAAATGTATTTAGACTTGTTTCATGGTCTAGAATATGGTCTTTCTTCAAGGCTTTGTATGCACTTGAATGTGCATTCTGCTGTTTTACGTGGGGTTTGTGTCAATGTCAGTGAGGTGAAGTTGTTTCTTAGTGATGTTCAACTCTTTACATGTATTACTGCTTTTCTATACTTTTTCTGTTGTTGAGAGAGTAATATTGAAATCTCTGACAATAATTGTGGATTTATTTATTGCTCCTGCACTTCTACCAGTTTTCACTACATATATTTTGAAGCTCTATTCTTGGGGACATAAAGATATAGGATGTAGATGTGCTATTGATAAATTGTCCTTGTTATCAATATGAAGTAATCTTCATTATGTATAGTAATATCTTTTGGTCTGAAATCTACGTTTTCATATGTTAATCTACTTTTTCTTGTGACTAGTGTTAGCATGGGATATATTTGTCTATCCTTTTATTTTTAGTATATTTACATCAAGTATGTTTTTTTTATGAACAGAATTTAGACTAGCTGTGTGTGTGTGTGTGTGTGTGTGTGTGTGTGTCTTTTTCCTTCTTGTCTGGATTTCAGATTTTTTAAATTCTATTTTATTTCCATTGTTAGCTTAACTATAAGTCTTTTGTTATATTATTGATTGCTTTAAGGTTTATATTGTACCTCTCTTTTTTTTTTTTTTTTTTTGAAATAGAGTCTCACTTTGTCGTCAGGCTGGAGTGCAGTGGTGCGATCTCGGCTCACTGCAACCTCTGCCTCCTGAGTTCAAGCGATTCTCCTGCCTCAGCCTCCCAAGTAGCTGGGACTATAGGCGTGTGCGACCACACCCAGCTAATTTTTGTGTTTCTAGTAGAGACGGAGTTTCACCATGTTGGCCAAGATAGTCTCAATCTTTTGACCTCATGATCTACCCGCCTTGGCCTCCCAAAGTGCTGGGATTATAGGCGTGAGCCAACACACCTGGCCTATATTATACATCTTTAAGCATAATTGTCTAACTACAAGTGATACATCTTTAATTTATCATAGGCTAAGTCTGCTGTGAAGTATTTTGTACAGTTTCATGCTTAGCGTTAGAATCATTTCTTCTCTCTCCCACATCTAAGCTATTACTAACATTTTTTATACTTATACATATATTATAAACCCTATAATAAGGCCAGATGCAGTGGCTCATGCCTGTAATCTCACTGTAATCCCAACATTCTGTGAGGCCCAGGTGGGCAGTTCACTTGAGGTCAGGAGTTTGAGACCAGCCTGGGCAACATGGTGAAACCCTGTCTCCACCAAAAAACAAAAATCAGCTGGGGATGGTGGCGCACGCCTTTAGTCCCTAGCTACTCAGGAGGCTGAGGCAGTAAAATCACTTGAACTGGCTAGGTGGAGGTTGCAGTAAGCTGAGATTGCGCTGTTGCACTCTAGTCAGGTGACAGCGAAACTCTACCTCAAAAAAAGAAAACCCCAAAAACAAACAAACAAAAAAACCCTATATAATACATTATCATTTTATGTAATCAATTTTATTTTAAAGATATTTAAATAATATGAAAATAATATTTTATGTTTACATGTATGGTTACCATTTCTATTGATCTTATTCCTTTGTATAGATCTGTATTTCTGTCTGGTGTCATTTGTTTTTGCCTGAGCAATTTCGTTTAATTTTTCTTGTAGGACATATTTACCAGTGATTATCTTTTGTGTATCTAAAAAAGTCTTATTTTAAAAATATTTTTATTGTTTTGAAATATTATCACTGGGTTTAGAATTCTAGGTTGAAAACTTTTTTTAATGCTATAAGGATATTGCTCCACTGTTGCCTTGTTTGCATTGTTTTTGATGAGAAGTCTGCTGTCATGCTCTCTTTGCCTATTCATATTATGTCTTTCTCTGACTGCTTTTATGATTGTCTCTGCATCATTTGTTTTGAGCAATTTATTTTTGAGCAATTTATTATGACAGGCCTTGGTGCAATTTTTTTTTTTTTTATGTTTCTTGTTTTTGGAGTTTAGTGAGCTTATTGAAACTCTGGGCTTATAATTTTCACTAAATTTGGAAATGTTTCTGTTACTATTTTTTCAGGGACTACAGTTAAACATATATTAGGCCACTTGAAGTTGTTCCACAGTTCTCTGATACTCTTTATATTTTTGCCATCTTTTTCTGTGTGTTTAATTGTGGATAGTTTCTGTGATTATATCTTCAGTTTCACTAATCTTTTTTTCTCCTATCTCTAAACTACTGTTAATTTCAAGTAGTTTACAATCTCAAGCATTGTAGTTTTCAGTGATAGAAGTTTGAATATTTTTTATCTCCCATGTCTCTACTTAACTTTTAGATCTGGAATACAGTTATATGACTTAAAATATTCCTTTTTTAATAATTAAACTCTAGGTCAATTCTTGGACAGTTTCAATTGGTTGACTTTTCTCTTCCTTGTGAGTTGTGTTCCCTACTTCCTGTATGACTGATAATCTTTGATTAGAAGCAAGGCAGTGTGAGGACCAAACCCTTCTGTAAGTAGATGATTAAAAAAAAAAAAAAAAAAAAAAAAAAGCAAGACAGTGAAATTTACATTGTTGTATGTGGGTTTTTTAATTCCTAAAAATGTCTTTGAGTTTTGTTTGGGGAAGTAGTTAAATTAGTTGGAAACAATTTGATCCTCTTAGATCTTACTCTTATAATTTATTAGTCTAGACAGAAGCAGCATTTAGTATAAAGCTAGTTATTTCCCACTATCGAGGCAAGACCCCTCTGAGGACTCTATCCACTAATGCATGAATTAAGAGGTTGCCAGTATGTTGGTAGAAACAGGCATTATTTTCAGCTGTGTTCTTTTACTCCTCTCATTTTGTTCTGTCCCAGCCTCACTAAATTCCAGGCTCCTATCAATACTCAACTCAATATTTGAGGGAGACCTCTGTAGAACTCCAGAGCCTCTCTCTGCTCAGCTCTTTCCTCTCCAGTACTCTTTTCTGTGAACTCCTTGGCTTCTCTGGATTTTTGGCTCCATGTCCGTAGCTCAGGGATTCTATCAGGTTCTGCCTTGATTCTCTTTCACTGTGTTGTGACATGGAAACTCTCTTAAGGCAGTATTCTAGGGTAAACATTGGACTATCCCATTTATTTCTTATCTCTCAGGGATCACTGTCCTTCATTTTATGGTGTCCACTATTGTGAAAATCTTTGTTTTGTGTATTTTAGTCTGATTTTTTGGTGGTGGTGTCAGATGAAGGTTTAAAATCCCATCCTATTAATTTCCTGGGGTGCTATAACAAATTACCATAAACTGAGTGGCTTAAAACAGCAGAAATTTATTCTGTCATAGCTCTGAGGGTTAGAAGGCCAAAGTCAAGGTGTTATCAAGGCCATGTTCTTTCTGAAGGCTCTGGGAAAGAATCTTCTCTTGTCTCTTTCTATCTTTTGGTGGGTCCCAGCAATCTATGGAGCTTCTTGGCTTTTAGCTACATCACTCCAGTCTCCTTCTTCCACCGTATGTCTCCTCCTCTTCTTAAGACACCAATCATTGGATTCATGGTCTACCCTAATACATAATTACCTCACCATAACCAGTTACATCTGCAAAGACCCTATTTCCAAATAAGGCACATCCTGAGGTTTTGGGTGAACATAAATTTTAGGATGACACTATTGAACCTGCTACGTGTATCTTGGCTGTAAAGAGAAGTCTGCTTGTTTTTTCAATGTAATTATAAAACCTTTTGACAAGGCCTTGCATAGAAAGTCAGCATAATGATATAGTATAAATATGTGAGCTTTGGATTCTGATAGGCTTGAGTTTTAATTTAGCATTACCACTTTCTACATGTATATAGGGAAAGTTATTTTATTTCTTTGAATCAGGGGTTTCCCATCTGTAAAATTTTTATACTACTTTACTCATTAAACTCATAATATAATTAAAATATCCTTTATACATCAATAGACCTGACATACAATAGGTACTTAATAAGTGAGATTTACCTTTCCAGTATTTGTTAAATAAATTTTATGTTTATCTACTTGTATATATACTGTGCATGTATTTCTTCTTTTTATAAGAGGTTAGAGGTAGTTTGCAAGAATACATGAAGTGAAATAATAAAACAATGAGGCCACAAGAGAAGAAAAAGACTATATAGACCATAAAAGCCTACATAATTGTTACAGAAGTTGAACTCTGAAGCTCCCTATCAATCATGGAAAAATGGAAAACATTATCCATTAATATCACTTTCACTGTAAAAAAAAAAACACAATAAGTTTCCTTTGAGAACCTAAGCATTTTTATTATACAAATCTAAAAGAAAGTTTACTTTAAACTAGCAAACAATGGCTTCAACTCTGTCTAGTGTAATAATTGTGTTAGTGAATTTCATAAGGTCTTTTCTTACAGTGACTAACAGAAAATTAGTTTGCATATGAAAAGTCGATTTTAGTAGGCTCAAATTTAGTTGTAGTTATACTGTATATTATGAACTTCTTATATATCTTGCACTTCTTAGCTGCAGACTTTAGTTGTTAAAGTTTTATAATGTGATCTTGTTTTCTATATGTATAAATACTATTTCTCCCTGTCTGCTTTATTTTTTTCCTGACTTATCTACCTTTAATTGCCATTTGATTTCTATTAAACTCTAAGCTCCAAGAGGGCAGGAATCATTGTTTTATTTTGGTTATTGTATTCTTCTCAGCATCATATGAATTATTTTATATATATGTTTTGTTTTAAATAACATATATATATATATGTATATATATATATATGTCATTCAGTAACAACAAATGTTTTCTAATTAACCAATTACCAGTTAAAATTTTCAGAATAATATAATACCTTTTTAGGGCTATCTCTACTGCCTTGGTGAGTAGAAATGATTTTCTAAATTGTTGAATCAGTATACTGATTCTTTAACTCTCGTATATTTTACTTTTCTAGTTGCTCTTTATTTGCTTCTGAATCTTGCTGAGGATACTCGTACTGAACTGAAAATGAGGAACAAGAACATAGTTCATATGTTGGTGAAGGCTCTTGATCGGGACAATTTTGAGCTGCTCATTCTAGTTGTGTCATTCTTGAAGAAACTCAGCATTTTCATGGAGAATAAAAATGATATGGTAACTTACAAAGCTTTTTCTTGAAATAGTTCGTGTTTGCCATTTTCAAGTTAGAATATTTTGATAAAAATTAAACACCTTATTCCCCTACTGAGATAATTCTGAATAAAGATTTTGTAACAGCAATAATTCACTGATAGGGCTTTATTAAGAAATGTATTCCATATTAGTTAATAGCTTTCTGAATAAAAATCATTTCTAATATATAGAATGAATCTTGCCATATTAAACATAATATACAGAAAGTTTGTTTAAATTTAAAATTTTTCTTCAGAGTCACCTGATCTTATTCTTTTACCCTAAGCTATTTTGCCTTCTGCATCTCTGACTTTAGATTGTAGAATTAAAATTTAGCCAGATCTCTTCATTGTTACCTACACTTCCACTTTGTTAACTATAATTTTTCTTTGTTACCTACTGTTCTACTTGGTAGCCACAACCTATTGATTCTGCTTCTTAAAAATCTCTTGAAACTATAATATTGCTTCTTTTCATTTCTAGTGCCATTGTATTAGTTCATACCCTCTTTATTCATACCTTCTTCATTTCTTGCTTGAATTTATTATGCTAGGCTCTCATTTGCCATCTTTTATTGTGTTGATACAATGATCTTTGGGAAATACAAGTTGACTATATATTATTTTCACCTGTGTAGAATATATGTAATATAGAAATACATAAACTAAAAATTCTCATCTGCTTTTTACCATGTCATTAAAAAGTCTTTGTTATGTACAATAATATATTCGATAGCTCTTATGTTAACCATACCTTGTTTTCAGATAATTGAGTTGTTTACAGTTTTATCTATTACAAGTAATACTTCACTGCACATATTTGTGCATATGTATTTCTATGTATTTCTGCTTATTTTCTTGGAGCAGGTTTCTATAAATGAAATTATTGGATCATTGACCTTAACTCCATTGAGGATAATTTTTAGAACTATGTATCATTATGTGGCTGTGTATTACTGACTAAAGTGGCTTCTTCTTTAAATAGTCTAAATGTATATTATGTCTGCCTACTTTATTTTATTTTAAAATCAAAAGAACTAGGAAGTAGCTGATACTATAGTGAATGACATAGAGAGAGCCTTTGAAAACCTGAGACTTATTTATCAGATTTAATAAGTACCTTAAATTCTAGTTATTGAATATATGAAATTTTATTTTACCCCATATATTTAGTATCTGTCATTTTCATTGTCAATATATAATTATTTATGTTCATGATGTGCCTGATATTACTTTGAGATTTAATGTTTTAATCAAACACGTTTTTTGTTTTCACTTTTATTTAAGAATAATATGATAACATGGTAGTATATAAATCCTGAATAGTTAGAGTATGGCCAAATAATTGCTTCACCTTGTTATAAGTTGAAGCATGTTCTTCCATTTATGTGATCAAATTAAGTTCACTTTTAGTAGGTTCTCAAAATTCAAATTGATTTGTATCACAATGTATCTATTACGTATGTATTAGAGCTAGATTTAACTAATACAGTTATGTGCTTATTCTATCAAAACGATCTTGACTATTACTAAAAGTTGTTTTCTGATAAGATCATAGAATTGCAATATATGATATAAATTATCTCATTAAACCTCATTTTTTATTCAGGAAAAACTTGAGGTTCAGAAATGTTTGTTATTCTTCCACGATCATGAGAAGTATTTGATTTACCCAGATTTTTACTAGTGATGATACGGATTTTATCTTTTATTGTGGAAGAAATATACTTTATTTAAGGACATCTACAGAATCAAGATTTTTACAATTTGACTGGGCCTTAAATCCAAGGCTAGATTTAGTGACTCCAGCCTCCCGATTTCACAGATGCAGTAGAGAAGGATCAGAGACATTAATTTGCTTAAGGAAACAGATCTCTAGATACTCAACTTTCTACTGTTCTTCTTTGCTTCCTGGGAAAAATATTTTAGGTCTTTCTTTTTTAAAGACATTTTTAGTAAGATTGACAATAAGCATTTTTATTTTTATTTTTATTTTTATTTTTATTTTTATTTTTATTTTTATTTTTATTTTTTTATTTATTTATTTATTTTGAGACGGAGTTTCACTCTTGTTACCCAGGCTAGAGTGCAATGGCGCGATCTCGGCTCATCGCAACCTCCGCCTCCTGGGTTCAGGCAATTCTCCTGCCTCAGCCTCCTGAGTAGCTGGGATTACAGGCATGTGCCACCATGCCCAGCTAATTCTTTGTATTTTAGTAGAGACTGGGTTTCACCATGTTGACCAGGATGGTCTTGATCTCTCGACCTCGTGATCCACCTGCCTCGGCCTCCCAAAGTGCTGGGATTACAGGCTTGAGCCACTGTGCCCGGCCACAATAAGAATTTTTAAATGTTAGCTTCCAGAAACTCTGAGAAAGGTACAATTAAAGACTGAAACAAACTTGCTGATAGATTGTTGGTAAACCCTCACCTAACATAGACTGTTAAAAAAATACTAATTGTAAGTTCTGTATTATGGAAATAGACTTGAGGAGGGCCAGACGTGATGACTTAGGCCTGTAATACACTTTGGCACTTTGGGAGGCCTAGGTGGGTGAATCATACGAGGTCAGGAGTTCAAGACCAGCCTGGCCAACATGGTGAAACCCCGTCTCTACTAAAAATACAAAAATTAGCTGTGTGTGGTGGTGCACGCCTGCCATCCCAGCTGTTTGGAAGGCTGAGGCAGGAGAATCACTTGAACCAGGAGGTGAAGGTTGCAGTGAACTGAGATTGTGCCACTGCACTCCAGCCTGAGCAACAGAGCAACACCCTGTCTGAAAAAAAATAAATAAATAAATAAAAGGAAAGGAAAAGAAAGAAACAGACTTGAAGGCATTGCATGTTGAGGCAATTACTAAATTTAGCTCTGAGGATTGAGTTTTTGTCAACCAAAAAGATATGATTAGAAGGCTGTGTTAAATACTGTCTAGTGTTTAAACATCCGATTGATTAATGGCACATATTTCACATTTTATTCTGTGCATTAGGAATACAGATTAATAATAGGCTAGACATGGTGGCTCACACCTGTAACCCCAGCACTTTGGGAGGCCAAGGCAGGTGGATTACTTAAAGTCAGCAGTTCAAGACCAGCCTGGCCAACATGGTGGAACCCCATCTTTACTAAAAATACAAAAAGTAGCCAGTTGTGGTGGCACAAACCTATAATCCCAGCTACTTAGGAGGCTGAGGCAGGAGAATCACTTGAACCCAGAGGTGGAGGTTGCAGTGAGCTGAGATCACACCACGGCAGTCTAGCCTAGGGAACAGAGAGAAAACCCATCTAAAAAAAAAAAAATTAGTAACAAACTCTCCAAGTTTTTTTTTTTAATTAAGTTTTGCTGTAACAAACTGTTACAACCAGCAAACTGTAACACTGTTGTAACACTTTGCTTTTACAAAGGGAAAATACTACCTGATATAATTAGTGAAAATTGACACTTGTAGCAGTTTTATTTATAAAAGGAATGAGAAGATGGCTGAGCTATTTGTGAGGTAGTTTTATTTATTTACATAAAGTTTATTTTACTCTTAATGTGAACAATACCAGCCTTACTTTTAGACAGTTTTTTAGAGGAACAACAGAGAGGATATATTTTGCCTAGGTTGCTTTATTTTCTTACTGCTAACTTTTGAGAATTCTTTCTACATTTGGAAGCAGGTTGTTTATCAGTTATATGTTTTTCATGTATTTTCACTTTTCTGTGGCTTCTTTTCATTCTCCTATGAAAAGCAGAAGTTTTTAATTTTCATGAAGTCCAGCATATAAAAAAAATTTAGTGAATTGTATTTGCATGTTATTTTTAAAAAATGTTTGTCTAATGCAAGTTCACAATGATTTCTTCCTATGTTTTCTTCAAGTTTTATAGTGGTTTTTGTCATTGCCATTTTAGTCTATCATCCATCCATTTTGAGTTAATTTTGTATATGGTGCAAGATATGGACCAAGATTTAAGGTTTTTATTATGGATGTCCAGTTGTTTTAGCACTATTTGTTGAAAAGACACCTTTATCCATTGCATTGCTTTGTACCTTATTGAAATTGCCTTTGCACATTGTTGAAAATTTGGCAATGTATGCTTGCTTCTATTTCTAGACTCTGTCTTCTGTTCCATTAATCTATGTGTCTGTGCTTTCATCGATACCTCTTTCTCTTGATTACTATAGCTTTATAGTAAGTCTTGAAAATCAGGCAGTAAGAGGATCCCAGTGTTACATTTTTTCAGAGTTATTCTGACTATTCTGTGTTTTTCCATGTATATTTTAAAATCATTGGGATTACATTGAATCTATTGGGGAGAATCAAGAGATAATATTGGATTTTCCCAGTCCATGAAAATGGTATATCTTTCTATTTATTTGGGTCTTTTTTGATGTCTTCCATCATTTATAGTTTAGCATACATATTTTGCATACATTTTGTTAGATTTATACCTAAGTATTTTACCATGTTTCCTGGTTTTGGTTGATAGTCTATAGAAATATAATCAATTTTTGCATATTGGCCTTATGTCCTGTGACTTTCTAAACTCACTTTTTAGGTGTACTGACTCACAGATTCTTGGAGATTTTCTAAGTAGACAGTTGTGTTGTCTTGAGATAAGAAGTTTTATTTCTTCCTTTCTAATCTATATGATTTTTATTTCTCTTTCTTGCCTTATTGCACTGAGTATGCCCTCTAGTCTGATGCTGAAGAGGAATTTTGTGAGTGAATGTCCCTGCCTTGTTACTGATCTTACAAAGAAAGTAATGTCTTTCACTATTAAGCATGATATTAACAGTAGGGGTTTTGTAGATATTTGCTATCAGTTTAAGAAAGTTCTATTTCTAGCTTGCCGAGACTTTTTACCATAAATCAATGTTAAATTTTGTAAAATGCCTTTCCTGTATCTGTTACTGAGGTAATCATATGGTTTTTTGTTTTTTGTTTTATTTAGACTGTTGATATAATGAGTTACATTGATTGACTTTTGAATGTTTACCAGTCTTGTATTTACGGCATAAACATTACTTAGTTATGATATATTGCTCTTTTGTATATATTGCTAGGTTTTATTAGCTTGTTATTTTTGAGAATTTTTGTGTTTATGAGGCATTATTCTATAGTTTTCTTTTCTCCTAATGTCTTGGTCTGGTGTTATTATTAGAATAACTGTGTCCTCATATAATGAGTTGGGGAAGCATCCCTTCTTTAATTTTTCTGGAAGGGTTTGTGCAGAATTGGTATTATTTCTACTTAAATGTTTAATAGAATTCACCAGTAAAAAGCCATCTAGGCCTGAGATTTTCTTTCTGTGAATTTTTAAAGATATATGTCAAACTGTTTAGGTTATTTCTTCTTGAGTGGTAGCTCTGTAGTTTGTCTTTCAAGGACTTTATTTCATTTATGTACGTGCTATCAGATGTATGGGCATAACAGTTTTGGTACTGTTTCCTTTTCATCTCTATCTGAAGGGCTAAAGTGATTTTTCTCTGTTTTATTTCTGATAATGGTCATTTTTTTTCTAGATTAGTGGTTATCAGTTGCTTTGGTATTTTCAAATAATCAGCTTTTATTTTGTGTTTGATTTTTGGAAGACTTTGGAGATAGAATTACACTCTATAATGAACAGCTCTAGGGTATGACTACATTGTGACTGGAGGACAGATAGAAGTCTGAAAGAAAAATCAGGTGTTAGTTTGTCACTTTAGCAATTTTTAAAAATTTGTGTTTATTCCTTGGTGTGGAGTGAAATGATAAAAATATATTAAGGGCTCAATTATTAATGTGACTTTTATGAGGTCAGTGAAAGATGGTAATAGATATGAAATGGGCAGTCTAAATAAATGTTTTAGATCTCCAATAAAAGAAAAAGTAGAACAAGATTAATTATAAATCCTTTGATTTAAAAAATTATAAATTTTTTAAAAATTTTCATTCTTTTTTGCCATTGCTTTTTAACTAAAAGACATGAAATTTTTTTTACAACCAAAGTTTTCTGATTGCTACTTTAAAAAATTTGAATGCAGGGCTTCTCTTATTAAATAAGTTCTGTCCCCTGTGAGTATAAAATAAGTTCTCTTAAAGCAATTTTATAATCTTCTAGAGCAGAGGTCTGCAAACTTTTTCTTCAAAGGGCCAGATAGTCAATATTATAGGTTTTGCCGGTCATATGATGTCTCTTGCAACTACTAACTCTGCTCCAGTTGTAGCGTGAAAGCAGCCATTGACATTTGGTAAACAAGTGATCGTGGCTCTGTTCCTGTAAATATATATCAAAACTGAAATTGAAATTTCATATAATTTTTGTGTGTCATGAAATATAATTCTTCATTTGATTTTCTTTTTCAACCATTTAAAACTATAAAAGCCAAAAGCCATTCTTAGCTCATAGGTTGAATGAAAACAGATAGCAGGCCAGATAGGCCCACTAACCATAGTTTACTGATCCCTGTCCTAAAGTTTCAACTATTACTTTTAGTCAAACTTCTCTCCTGAGTTTTATACAATTTTTAAATATTCACTGGATACCGCCTCAATTAAATGACAAAAATTAAAATAATTTTTTGCCTTCTCTGTCCGAAGCCTCTTTTTCCGTTTGTCAGTTAACAGAAAATAACCTTAGTGACTGTACAGAAAAGGACTCTGAGAATATGGTTTTTAAATAGGCCTTTTGCAAGTTGGTGCTTGGTTAGTGTTTAGGACTTTGGATTGTAGGAGTACTCCTAGTCTAGGAACAAATCTGATCACATCACCCCCTGGACTTAAAATCATTCAGGACACTTTACTGCCTATGTAATAATGTTAAACCTCTCAGTACAGCATTAAAAGCCTGTACGATTTGTATAGGTCTGTCTTATAGCTTTCTGCCCATCTCCAACACATACTTTATACTATGCTTATACCAAAGCACTTGTATTCGCTAACAAGCTCTTCTATTCCTAAATGCTAGTCCACTGGCTTTTTCCTCAACTTTTATTACCTTTGCCTTTCTGAACCAGAGAACAAATTCTTACTCATTTTTTTTTTTTACTTTTTTCCTAATTTGAAGTCTTTTGTTCTTCCAGATAGGTTAGTAGTTTTCTCCATGCTGTTTTCAGAGCATTTTGTTCATTCAGTTTTTATCACGTTATATTTTCATTATTCATTCTATTATTCATTCTATTTGTCTTCTCTCTCTCTCTCTCTCTCTTTTTTTAATTGAGACAGTCTTGCTCTGTCACCAGGTTGGAGTGCAGTGGCACAATCTTGACTCACTGCAACCTCTAACTCCCAGGTTCAAGTGATTCTCCTTCCTCAGCATCCCAAGTAGCTGGAACTATAGGCATGCACCACCACACCCCACTAATTTTTGTATTTTTAGTAGAGATGGGGTTTCACCAAGTTGACCAAGATGGTCTTGATCTCTTGACCTTGGGATCCCCACTTTGGCCTTCTGAAGTGCTGGGATTATTGGTGTAAGTCACTTCGCCCTGCCTACACTCTTTTTTTTACTGAGAAATCCTTGAAAGCCAAGATGAGATCTTCTTTGCATAGGACCTGGTACTTAATAGGTGGTATTCAATAATGCAAAGTGTTTTTGAGGATCAAATGTAATTTGTCTTCCAGTTGATGCAATTAAATGAGGGAAAGAGAGGATGGTGTGGCATATATATTTTCTCCTCAAAAGTTTGATTTCTGGAAAGTTTACAGATTGAAATGGAGTATAAGATTAACATATAATTATAAAATAGATATACATTAGGGTAAAAACAAAGAAAAAATAATTATATTATTTTTGTCCTATTTTGCAACAGAACATCACTGTATTTTCATTTTTATTTTACTTAGGTGGAAATGGATATTGTTGAAAAACTGGTGAAAATGATACCTTGTGAGCATGAAGATCTGCTGAATATCACCCTCCGACTTTTACTAAATCTATCCTTTGACACAGGACTGAGGAATAAGATGGTACAAGTTGGACTGCTTCCCAAGCTCACTGCACTCTTAGGTATGCTTTTTAAAAATTAATGACAGTATTGCCTGGAATTTCCAACATCACTGGAAAATTGAGCTCTGTGTTGAAAAGGCTCCTGAACAAAAAACATTTTGTCTCTATTCTTTGATTGGAACTAATAATAAAAACAAGCAGAGTAAGTGAAGAATGGTCTGTACCAGGATTTCCATGGTGCTATAGAATGAAATAAAATAGCAGCTTTTAACCGTTTGACTTCATTTATCCATACTGAGCCAAAATGAAAGTAATGATGCAAGGAAAGATAAGGAAGCAGGGAAGCAAGAAGGAAAAAAATATTTTATCTTCAGCATTTTTCTTTTAAAAAAAAAAGCAGGTATCATTTAAGTTCTTATATTCTGCCATCCTTTTAAAATATTATTTAAAAATGAGCTAATTTGTGGAAACTTGTTACTAAGTTAAAAAGGGTATTTTTTGGCCAGGCGCGGTGGCTCAAGCCTGTAATCCCAGCACTTTGGGACACCGAGGTGGGTGGATCATGAGGTCAAGAGATTGAGACCGTCCTGGTCAATATAGTGAAACCCTGTCTCTACTAAAAATACAAAAATTAGCTGGGCATGGTGGCACGTGCCAGTAATCCCAGCTACTCAGGAGGCTGAGGCAGGAGAATTGCCTGAACCCAGGAGGCGGAGGTTGCGGTGAGCTGAGATCATGCCATTGCACTCCAGCCTGGGAAATAAGAGCAAAACTCTGTCAAAAATACCCTTTTTTTTTTTTTTTTTTTTTTTTTTTAAATGGAGACATAGTCTCACTATATTGCCTAGGCTGGTCTTGAATTCCTGGGCTCCAGTGATCCTCCCACCCCAGCCTCTTAAAAGGTTATTTTGTATAGCATGACATAAACTACTATCTTAGAGAATTCAGTTTACAAGTTATTTTGTTTTAGTTGCCAGCAAGATACCTGTCTGTGACAAGGATGAGTTTGAGAGTTAAAATTGTACAGTCAACATAATGCTAACCTTCTTTGTAGGGTATTAAACCCCCTTACAGTCTATTCAATATCTATCTTTTTGGGCTCCGCCAGTCCCAACATATACTTTACACTATGACAATACTGAAACCTTGGCAGTTTCCTAAATAAGCTCTTTTATGCCTAAGTAGCTGTCTACCTGTTTTACATGTTTTTTCCTCTACCTGCAGTGCCATCGCCTTTTTTACCCAGAAAGCAAATTGTCACTTAACTCTTTGTTCCTTTGTTTCACAATGGCAGTTTCATTCTTTTTACAGCTTTCTCTGTATATTCAAATACTGCACAACAATGTTATTATACTTTTTAGAAGTTACTCTATTGAGGTCCACTTTCAAAAATTGGTTTTGGAGAACCAAAGCAATGTAGAAATTTGAGGAATAAAAAAATCTTTAAAAGGAAAGTTGATTGGTCTTGAATTTAATTCATGTGACCTTTCACTTATTATAAATCTGACATAATTATGTGTCACATATTAGGTCAGCTTCTAACTGTATGAACATAAACAAATTACGGTCATTGGCCTGAAGGAATTCATAGTCTATTTGGTTTGTTCAGTTTCTAGTCTTGTGCCTTCCTGAAGTAATTGCATTGTAACATATGATAAAATGTATGATTTAAAAGATTTTTAGGAAATTACTCATGTGATACCCACTTCATTATTTGTTAACAAGTAGTAAATTGTGGGATATAAGACATATCCAATATATAAATTAATATTTTATCTCTTTTGGAGCTCAGTTTCTTGAGTCAGACTGTTTTAGTAGAATTGTCATGGCTTACGTGTAATCATGTAACCTTGGGCAAGTTATGCAAACTCTTTGTGACTCAGTTTCCTTATCTCTTAAATGAGGATAATAATTCAACTTAGAGTTTTTGAAGATCAGATGAGGAATTGCCTGCCAAGTACCTGACACATAGTATTTTCTTAGTAAACACTGGCTTTTGTTATGTTTCTTACTAACATCATCATCATTTCTTATGAAGTAGATATTCTATAAGTGTTACTGACTTATGTTATTCTGAGTACGAATACTTTTCTCATGATTGTTACATTTTTGTTGACAAACTAGGTAATTTTTTTTAAAAGTTTGCTCTGTTAAATATATAGTTCAATTTAATTCAGTAAATTGAATTAAATTTCCCCTCTACCATGGTAAAGCACAGTGCTAAGCACTATAGAGAAATGTTTTCAACCTATGATATCTGAGATTCAAAAGAGATGATATTCCCATATTGATACTTTATCATTAAGGTTTCATTTGAAGTTGATATTGAAAAATTTGTCATTTTCATGGGGTAATATTTATAAAAGAATTAAGAATTTAGACTGTAAAAAGTATTTCAGGTAAGCAATCAACATGATCTAAGGCACAGATAGAGCTAGGCCAATAGAAGGAATAATAAGTTGCCTTTCAACTTGAGCATAGAGTATGACTAAGAATAAGCAGAAGGTAACATTTAGAAAAGTGGATTTATGCTCTTAAGTGGTATTACAAAGTTTAAAGCATTGCTGAGAAGTTTATACTTACAACTGATGGTAGGAATCATTGCTGACTTTTGATCTAGGTAGGTTATTATCAAAAATATGCTCAAGGGAAATTAATCTGACATATTCTATTTGATGGACTCACATTAGAGTCTGAAGATGAGATCAGTAGGCAGTTGTAGTAGGCAAAACAAGAAGTAAAGAAAACCTCATTTAGAGAAGATGTAGTATGTCCAGTATGAGGCAAAAGGAAAGGGCAGAAGGGACATATAGCTGAAATGAATATGTTATAGTTACTGTTTGGATGTGGGTAATGATAGAAAAGTATGTCGTAAAATCTATGACTATTAGAATGTCAGTGCCAGGAACAGAAATAGAGAAGTGTGAAGCAACAGGAATATGGAGAACTGCATGCTTTTCCTAAAGGCTTCCACTTTGAAGTGACAAATTATTATTGCTTACATTCTGTTAATAAAAGCAAATCACTTGGCCATGCCTAACTTCAAGGGAGTGTACAAATGCCTGGAATGAGTAGAACTGGAACATTGGTGAGCAAGAAAATGATCCTGAAAGTTATTTTGGGGTTTTCAGGATTACCAGAATCTCTTAAATAGTACATCCTGACACATCATAACAAATCCCACAGTACGTAGTCCATCTTGCAACTGTGGTAGCCCAGAGCACATTAATTAAAGCTGCGATTGTGGAGCCAGACTATATGCCTTTGAATATTGGCTTTATCAAATACCAGTTATGTGATACTGTACAATTACCTAAACTATATATCAGTTTTCTCGTCTCCAGTATGTAGATAATAATAGCATACATTAATAGGGAAGAGTTAAATGAGATAATGTAGTATTACAAAATTATAAATATGTGAAATTATCATCAAAATAAAAATACATAGAATCCCAAAAAACTAGATATCTAGAAAGGATCTTTTTTGATAAGTTCTCCAGGCTTATATTATTAAGGGTGTTTAATCATTTCATACACAGGTATCTTAGGTAGTTCAAGTTTCTATAAGGGAATAGACTGCGTGACTTATAAACAACAAAAACGTATTTCTCACAGTTCTGGAAGCTGTAAAGTTCAAGATCAAGGTGCCAACATATTCAGGATCTGGGGAGGGCTTGCTTCCTGGTTTATAGACAGCTGTCTTCTCACCATATCCTCACATGCCAAAAGGGGAAATGGAGCTCCTTGAGGTGTCTTTTCTAAAGGCACTGATATGGTTTGGCTGTGTCCCCACCCAAATCTAACCTTAAATTGCAATAATCCCCTCATTTCAAGGGCGGGGCCAGGTGGTGATAATTGAATCATAAGGGTGTTTTTCCCATACTGTTCTCATGGTAGTGAATAAGTCTCAGCAGATCTGATGGTTTTATAAATGGGAGTTTCCCCTACACAAGCTCTTCTGTCTGCCACCATGGAAGATGTGACTTTGCTCCTCATTTGCCTTCAGTCATGATTATGAGGCCTCCCCAGCCTTTTTTTCTTTATAAATTACCCAGTCTTGAGTATGTCTTTATTAGCAGTATGCCAACAGACTATTACAGACACCAATCCCATACATGGTGGCTCTGCTTTCATGATGTAATCATCCCTCAAAGGTTCCAGCCCCGAATATTATCACACTGAAGATTATGTTTCAACATAAGAGTTTTGGGGGGACATAGACATTCAGTTTATAGGAGAAGGCCTTTTAAAAATTTGTTTTCTAAAGTATTTTCTTAAATTTACTTTAATATCTTGAACGTAATTTTAAATTTTAGTGAGCAGTGTAGTGTAGTGATTAAAAACATGGGATTTGGAGCCAGAGACCCTAGGTATAGCTATTATTGTTTCTATTATCATTTATTCAAGTTTGCGAGTCTGAAGATAATTTATGATACAGGGCCATAAATATTATTACTGTGCCCAAGGATTTCCCCTTGCTAAATGGCCTCAGAACGCCATGTATTTTTCATTTTTATATACAAGTTTTCTGTTTTTCCCCTGGCCTTGGCTGTCACTTCACATTTCTTCTGTACCAGCAGCATTTCTATAGCAGCAATTTTTCTCTTCTATAATAATCTATTTCTATTCCCTTGTGGTCTTGGAAACTGACAACTAAAGTTATTTGAATTGTATATATATTTTTAAATGAATTCCAAATGAGTTCCCCAAGGGTTCTCTTTGTCGTAATGTTCTTGAGTTTTATTGCATGGACCTTGTAACATTTCTTTTGACTCTGAAGAAACTTACTTTGCTTGATTATATCTCTCTGCTATGTTCATAGAAATTTCATTTAGTGTACAGTTGATTTTCCGATGTTACTAGAATGGTCATTTTTACATTTGTTAATGTATATGTTACATGTGTAGACAATTAAATCATTAACTCCTAACACAATAAGCTAACCTTGCCAATTGAGTAATTCAGTGATATAGTTAACGTATGTGATCTTTGGCTACTATGCTTATACAAAATATGTAGTAAGGAAGCTGTGTTATAAAGGACATGGATTTTAAAGGG